CGACATATATATATATATATATATATATATATATATTTGTCATGCTAATGTTTTTTCTCAGAATAAATGAAACTTCGTTGACAAGTCTTAAGTTGACTCCTAAATAGCTAACGGTTCATGCCATTTGACAACCGTAGAAGAACGACATGCCCACCATAATGTCCGTGCGGGGTTTTTTTTTCTTGACACTAATTAATGTTTGTACCTTATATGTGCTTCGCATGAATACGTTACATTTCTCAATTATCTACAAGTTTTTACAGATTTTAATTTGGGTACATAAATTAAATTGAATTATAATATATATATATATATATATATTATATTGGATTTTTATATTAAAATTAAATTAATTATATTTGAACCAAAATATCAAATGAAAACAAATATTGTAGAAAATATGCATATTTACAAATAAAACCGATAAAATCGAAAGAAAAATCCATATGAAATTGAATGGATTAATTAATTTAATTTTATAAAAATAGAAAAAATCCCAACAATATTCTAATTGAAACTGAAATTTCAAAAACCCATATGAAATATACATTCATTACAAACAAAAAAAACTTTAGGTTTCTAGCTATATATATATATATATATATATCATGGACATAATGATTTTAAATCATTTTTTTGTAGAATTTTAATTATTCAAGATTCAATACAGTTTTGACAAGGAAAAATGTTTTAGAAGCTTTGGGGCTGTATTTTGAAAAGTTAAAATATATATGTTTTCTATTTATTTCCTAAAATCGAATTTCACTTTTTCTGTTTTTGTTTTTAACCAAAATTGTTTAGTAAAAAAATAAGTGATTTTAGAAAATCTTGTTTTAAAATATGCCTTTATATAATTTTCTAAACAGTAAATCTTATTTTCTAAACAATGGTTATTATAAAAACTGATTCTGAACATAAATCTTATTTTCTAAAGAAGGCATATGACAAATGCTGTCTTTATCTCAACGAAAAATCGTATTTTCTAAATTGTCTCGTAGCCGTGCATTTTTTTAGAAAAACCAAACAAAAAAAAAAACAGAAAGAATGTAAAACTCGAATATACAGAGAATAAAAGAGATAAGAGAATAATAAAAAAAAAAACAAACTAAAAGTCAACAACGTTTTATGTTAATTAATAATTTACTTCTTGGTTGCTTTGGCTCTTTGGATCGTTGAATCCGTTGAAACGTTCTAACATCCGTTGCAGCATCACTTGGGTCCCACGTAACGTAACTGTGGGGCCCTTGATCTAAAAATCCTTACAACTCCTCGAAACCATTTCTTCCTTTCCCCGTGTCTGGTTCTCGAGATCAAAATGCTCAGGTATTTGTTTTTTTCTTCTCTAAATTCATATTGATTTCAATTTCAATTTTTTGTGATTATATAACAACGGATTTCAACGAAGGATTAATTGTTTTTTATATTTAATGTGGATTTAGATTTGACAATATATGTAAACGTATTTCAATATATGATTTTTCCAGTTTGTGAAAGACAAGAAGAACAAAGAAGATGGGGAAGAGATGGATTTCATTTGTGACATGTTTTTCCCAGACCCACGATAATGATCATCAGGTTTGTTTTAATCGAATTTGGTCTTCTGTTTTATTTCATTTTGTTTGATTTCAGATGATAATCTTATGATCAAATCACGATTTATGTAATTTTACTCTCTCATCCATCCTTCGTAACGTCTTTGCCAAGAAACCCCAGAAACCGAAGAAAAAATGGTTTGGCAAACAAAAGAGCATAGATTCTGTTGCATTGGTCCCTGAAGAAAAACCATCCATCGAGCCTTCAACCACCTCCCCGCCTCCTCCTCCACCGCCGCCGCCGCCGCCTCCAGCTGCCGACCCACAGCCGTCGCTGCCACCACCGTCTCCGCCGCCTCCGCCACCCCCTATTCCTTCCACGTCAGCTCGTCGTCCTGCGAATGCGGCCGGATCTATCAGATCCAAAGATGAGCAGACCAGACAAGCTCTGGCTCTCGCGACAGCGGTGGCCGCAGAAGCCGCAGTCATGGCCGCCCACGCTGCCGCAGAGGTCGTGCGTCTGGCTACGGCCACGCATCAAACCGGGAAATCACGGGAAGAATCCGCCGCGATCAAGATTCAGACAGCCTACAGATGTTACATGGTACATATACACACACATTTTGCGTATATATGTCATGTTCTTCAAATGTTTTTGATCTTGGGGGGTTATATTAGGTTTCTTGGTGATTGGATCTTGCAGGCGAGGAGGACGCTGCGGGCGCTGAGAGGAATGAGCAGACTGAAAGAGCTGTTGAAAGGGCAATACGTGAAAAGGCAAGCGACGGCCATGCTGCGTTCCATGCAGACGCTGACGCGTTTACAAACGCAGATCCAAGAAAGGAGGACTCGCTTGTCGGAGGAGAACAAGGCACGGCACAAGTTGCTTCAGCAGAGGCAACAACTGAAGGAACCACAGCATGGGACGACGACCTCCTCGGTATGATATGAATTCTCAACTCTCAGACCTTAACAAGAGGCTGAACTGAACCTTTGGACCAAAAAGTCTTCTTTCGGCATACAAATGTTCTTTTTTGTTTGGTAATAGATCCTCGCGGGGGAATTTGATGTCAGCAACAAAACGAAGGAGCAGATCGAGGCACGTCTCATATACAGGAAAGAAGCCGCTGTCAAAAGAGAGAGGGCTTTGGCTTATGCCTACAGCCACCAGGTTTCACTTACTTCTCTCGTTCTGTGCATAAGAAGATGGTTTATTGTTTAGTAACCATGAAAATAGGAGTAATAAGAATCGGCAAGAAGGGCATGATCCTAATCTTTCAATCACACTCAAAACCTGAAGCGAATCACTGTTATGTTTCAACCGATCTGTTTCGAATTCTTTGATCTGACAAGAACTGTGCGTGGTTTTACGTATACATGAGCAGCAGACGTGGAGAAACTCATCAAAACTACCGCACCAAGTGCTGATGGACCCAAACAACCCGCACTGGGGGTGGAGCTGGCTTGAGCGGTGGATGGCTTCCCGGCCATGGGACCCTCAGACTGAACCACGGAACACTGAAGACCAAACCTCCGTCAAGAGCAGTTTAACCCGTGAAACCACCAGGCCGAGGGTGAGAAGGACGGCTAGCCAAGGAGCCACCCAATTGCACGTCGAAAACGATCCCAAGAACGTCCAAATGCAACGGGCCAACCGTAGGCAAGGCCTCGGAGGTGGCGGGTCATCATCCGCGGTCAAAGACGACGAAAGTGTCGGCAGCTCTTCGTCGTTCCAAAGTTCCTTGGGTCCCAAGAAAGCTGCCGCCAAACCTAAGAGCACTGTATCATCGGCCACACACAGCCTGAGTTCACAGAAGAAGAAGAGCGTGGATGATCAGAAGAGGCCAGCTGTGTTGGCGAAGAAGCGGCCTTCGATCTCTGCGTCTTCTAGAACGTTTACGAGGGCGTTGTCGGATTCGAACAAAGCCATGGATGTCTCAAATGGAGAGAAGAGGAGAAGCAGAGGCGATAGCAGATAGTCTGAAGAACAAAAGTGAAAGCCTGAGTCGTTTCGGCCTTAAGCATGATATTCTGTAACCAAAAAAAAAAAAAAGAGAAGGAAAACAGAGGAGAGTTGTTTCGGAGATGGGTTTTGATTGTTTCGTTTAATGATATTTGCCTCGGCGTGTAAAATGATATTCTTTTTCTGTTTGGTTTTATATGCTGTGTTTCTGTCTCTGTCTTTGTCTTTGTACTTTTTTTTTTTTTTTGAATTTCTTGGAACCAAAATCAATCTGTATATCCATCTCATCTAAAAAAAAAGCTGACATTATTGTCCAAAAATTTTACGATGCTCACATGCTAGTTCATGACGACATCATTGACATATCATTAGAAAAATGAAAATGAAAAAACCCAAAAAAAGAAAAAGAAAAAAGAAAATCACATATATCTCAACTTTTACAAAAATCTTAAATAAATTTCTGAATTATAAAATTTCTAAATAAATATCCGATTTTTTTAAAACTTTCATATAAATACCAAAACTTTTAAAAATTTACCATATAAAACCAAAATCCATTAACAGTTTTAAATTTATAACGTAATTCGTCGAAAATTGATAAATTAGCCGTCAACGAAAATTGTTTTATTTGAAATTTTTTTTAAAATTTGGGTATTTACGTGAAAGTTTTGAAAATTTTAGATATTTATTTGAGAATTTTATAGATCATATATTTATTTAAGATTTCTATAAAAATTCAGATATTTATATGCGATTTTTCAAAAGAAACATGCATATGTATGTATGCATATACGCATATACTCACATATATGGATTAATCCAGAATCCTAATTAATTATGGTTATTCTAATATGAATCATGATAGATCAACTATGGTTTTACGTAGACATTTTTTTTTAAAAAAATCTTGCGGTTTTTAACTTTTTATTGCATGATAGATCATCGGTATTTTTTTTTTCTCAACACAAAAGTCTGGCGATTACACTCGAACTGTCAGTTGCAGCGGGCGTGCACGTTTTGCATGTGGAACCTCGACCAAAAAAAAAAAGAACTCCAACACAATTATTTATACTTCACGTGGCAAATATGTAGATACTAGCAATGATATAATACAGAGCATATAAAATAATTGAAAGATCGATTACAACAATCCATTTTTAGTAATTACGATTAATATGAGAAAATGTATCATTGGAATCGTTGGCCAAATTCTCTTTTTCAATCTAGGTTCGAGTTTTCATTTGAAAAAAGATATTCATCTGAATTTTCAGAATTCTGCGAGCGAAAGATGCAATTGGATCAATGTTCCGGTGAACTTTTGGATAATAAAACAAAGACAACTATGTACTGATTTACTGGTCTGGAGCTAGACTTGCAATCTCCTTAAGTGGCTTCCACATGAATTTTCTCCTGCACACAACATGCACGGATTCTCGATTAATGCAACAAAACATGTCGACATCATAATTATTATTGAAAGATTAGAAAATAAATAAAAAAGAAGAGAATTAATTTCAAGGAAGAGGAAGGGATTTGACCAGTTGCCACATTCAGCGATGACCCTGACATTGGGGCGGAGAGACGGAAGGAGCGCAAGAAACTGGAGCTCCGACTTTGAAAGAACCTGGTTCGGACCAAAAAAAAAAAAAGAGACGAAACATCGTAACTACTTGTTGGGTTTAAGGAAGGAAAAAAAAGGGGGTACGGAAATTAAGACGAAGATGTATAAACCTTAGCTTCGATGACCCAGACGACAAGGCCTTTCGCATCAGGGGGGAGAGCGGCTAGCCTGTAGTCAACTTCCGGCGGGTAATACCACCTTGCTATAGGCTGTTTCCCCAGGTGGGCCTATATACATATATATATATAGAAATTCATGCTTCATTATGTACGTATATATCCGTACGTACATACACGTGTGTGAATGGATAGAGATACGTACAGGGCAGACGGGGTAGGGTTTGAGGAGGGTGGTCTCAGGGTCGCCGAGACCGCGAGCCGAGAGGTCGAGAAAGTAGTAGCCTTGGTATCTGAGCCGGTTCAGGTACCGGCCCTCGTAGCCTCCTTCGTGGGGAGTGTATATGGCTATGGCCTTGTGTTCTTCCACGTCAGCAAGCCACCGCCCGATGTCCAGCTTCACCAGATCTCCTCCTATGAAGTCTCCTATCTCGCATCTCACTCCCTGTACTCTCCTTCTGCTTGATGACGATGCCCTTTTCAAACTGTAACAATTCCCTGTTCTTGGGATTCTCCTGCTGCTGAAGGGTTCGAGCTGGCTCGGAGGCGTAATCGCGTGTTGTACACACAGGGCTCGACAACAACCCATTGTCTTGATGCTGTGATCGTTTCGTGAATGGCGTGACCATGGATGGATGAACTGTTATTGGTTTTGAAGATAAAAGGAAGATGATGGCACAGTGTCGGGATGAATGGCAGAGAAACGAGATAGAACCGGACAGTTCTTGATTGTGACGGATCTAATTTGCAACATCTTCGTGGGCCTATGGCTGATAATTGGGCCTCCAAAATTGGGCCCGCGATCACTTACGGTCCAGGCGGACTTGGATCCGTACTATGGCGTTACAAAACTATTAAGGCCGAATTGGGCCTTCGAAATTCGGCCTAGGATCACTTACGTGTCCAGGGGACTTGGTTTCGTACTACGGCGTATCAAAGGCAGAATTGGGCCTTGGGCCTACGTAATTGAACCTTCAGAGTTGGGCCTATTAAATTGCCCGTGGATCACTTACGTGTCCAGTCGGACTTGGTCCCGTAGCGCAGAGACCGGCGAACTAACTCGGGGGAATTTCGTTCGCCAGTTCTTCTCAGGGTTTCGGTTTCGGACAGAGAAGAAGAAACCATGTCGGTGACTTCACGGCTATTCAGGGCTCGTGACATCGTCTTCTCCCGCGCTCAAGTCAAACCCTTGTCTATCTGCCCCCGTCTTCCCTCTGATTTTCACCATGGACGTCGTCCCCTCTGCAGCAGCTCCGTCTTCTCCAATTTCATCAGACGTAACTCGATTCGACCGTATCCTGCTATCAACGCCTTCCTCTCCGATCCCCGTCGCTCACCTTCATCGGTTCGTTCTTCTCGATTTCCCCGTCACCATCGGTTCTATGTTTTTTTTTTTCTGTTTGATTGTTAGCAATGGCCATTCTCGAACAGGGTTCAAATGTTAGTGGCCGCATCCTGTTCTTCTCCACTTCGACGCCCAATCCCATCAAGAAACCTTCTTCAGAATCGACTGCAGCCGACATGAAGATCCTCCGCACGCTGGCCAGCTACTTGTGGATGAGAGATAACCTTGAATTTCGCTTCAGGGTCATCGCTGCCTTGGCTTTTCTCGTCGGCGCTAAGCTCATGAATGTTCAGGTGCCTTTCCTTTTCAAGTTGGCTGTTGACTGGTTGACCTCAGCCACCGGCACGGCCTCCGCCAATCCTGCCCTGGTTGCCGCTTTTGCTACACCTGCCGCCGTCCTCATTGGATACGGCATTGCTCGTTCTGCCTCTTCTGCTTTTAATGGTGCGATTTCATTGCCTTTTCACTAAAACAGAAGTGTTTTTTTTTTGTCTCTCATTGTCTCTCTACGTCCATGATTGCAGAACTTCGTACTGCTGTTTTCTCCAAGGTTGCTCTCCGGACGATACGTTCTGTGTCTAGAAAGGTATATTGTTCAATGAACAATAATGCTCTGGGTATCTAGTAGAGATATATTCATGATTCGGTGCCACTTTTTCAACATTGATGGAGGATTACTCTTTGATGTATCGATCCCCTTCACTCATAAACCCTCTCCCCTCCTACCTTTGCAGGTCTTCTCGCATTTACATGATCTTGACCTTCGTTATCACCTAAGGTCTTTGACTTTTTTCACAAGTTCCCTCATATCACACCATAATTTCATCTGATCCTGCCTATCTTGTTTGGTTGTTTTGTGTCCAGTCGGGAAACAGGTGGTTTGAACAGAATTATCGATCGTGGTAGCCGTGCAATAAACTTTATCCTCTCATCTATGGTTTTCAATGTTGTCCCCACTATTCTGGAGGTAAAACCATTTTTCACTGCTCAACCCTTTATCACATTCATGTTTCCTAAATTCCTATTCAGCTCAACTTCTTACTTCGATTAATATCACATTCATATCAATTGCGGTTTCATGTTTGGATTCGTTATCTTGCTTTCCAATTCTTCTAAATCTAGAATTACTACACCTTTGCCTCTAAAAATGTTCGACGTATTTAATATGTATCTTCCTCAGATAACTATGGTATCAGGTATACTAGCATACAAATTTGGAGCAGCTTTTGCTTGGATTACGTCTCTTTCTGTTGCAGCCTACATCACTTTCACGTTGGCCGTGACACAGGTACTGTACATAGCTCTACATGTTCTCAGCTAGTTGAATCTAATATCAACACTATGATGCAATACTTTTGCTTATCTCATTTTGATCCAGCGTTGACTGTAATTGAACTATTTATAAGACACTTAGGACCCGTTCCTTCATGGAGCTGTGGTTTCTTCACGGGCTGAAAATGCTAGTTGGTGGTATATGGCGGTTTCTTTTCACTTTGTTGTCCCTTGGGATGATGATGGTGTCTTTTTTTCATGCTGTCTCAAATCCTTTTGCTGTCATATCTTCTGCTCAACTTTTCTCAATGTTATTCAGTGGAGAACCAAGTTTAGGAAGGCAATGAATAAAGCTGACAATGATGCTAGCACAAGGGCCATAGACTCTCTCATAAATTATGAGGTACGGTTTCACATGTCTTCTCATGTTGCTTAAGTTGCAGTTTTGATAAGTTTTTCTTCTTCTTTTTTTTTGGTCAGACTGTTAAATACTTCAACAATGAAGCTTATGAAGCTGAAAAGTATGATGAATTCCTGAAAAGTAAGTAATTTCGCTGGTTGTTTGTTTAATATGGAAAATTGAGTTTTTCAAGTTTTTCTCTTTCCCAAGAAGGCTAGTATTAGATTTATGTCCAGATAATAAGGGAACGATCCATTGAGCGTTTTGCAATGTAGTATATATATACCATCTTTTACTACTGCTTTATCTTTTAAGTAAGTAGCAGGATAAAATCGGTTGTTTAATCATTGTGCGTTACACTTCTTTCCTTTGATTCTCTTATGATGATTCTACTGCTCTTTCTAGGATATGAAGATGCTGCCCTGAAAACCCAAAGAAGCCTCGCTTTTCTAAACTTTGGGCAAAATGTTATATTTAGTACGGCTTTGTCAACGGCAATGGTGCTGTGCTCACAGGGCATCATGAACGGCCAGATGACCGTAGGTGATTTGGTAAGTGCCTCTTTTGGATAGGTTGTATGGCATGAGTTACTCCTTTGGGATTATATATTTTTGTGTGTGTGTGTGTGCAAGTGTCTGGCGTTTGTGGACATGTGCTAAATCTAACCTCCCCGTCTATTTTGTATTGGTTAATATGGTGCTTGCAGGGTTCCTAATAATTTTCATGGTTGTGACAATGCAGGTTATGGTGAATGGGCTTTTGTTCCAGCTGTCTCTTCCACTCAACTTTTTGGGAAGTGTTTACCGTGAGACCATTCAGAGCCTTGTGGACATGAAGGCAATGTTCCAATTGCTAGAGGTATCAAGAGATCTCACACCGCTTTCTTCTGCCTTATGTTGGGTGTCATTTCGCATTTTTCGTTTGTTCAACTTCCTAATCCCTCTTTCTTGATACTCGAGATGCTAATGTATACCTCATAGGAGTGATATTCTGTTAGAGTCCCACATCGGTGAGAGAGGTATTTGGGACCAATATATAAGGAGGGTCAAACCTCCACTCTCTCTCACCGATGTGGGACTCTAACATATTCAAATATATTTGGAAGAGTGTGCTTGCTGATATGGACTTCTGATGTGCTTAAGCTGTTGATAATGCTGTGGTATCTTACTGCTCCAGGAGAAATCTGACATCACAAGCAAAGATAATGCAAAACCTCTTGTTTTGAATGGTGGAAGCATTCAGTTTGAAAATGTGCACTTCAGGTTGGTGATGATTCTTATTCTAATACCACTTACTGTCACACTAATTTTGTCTACTGAGTAATATTTGGGACGGACAGTAACTTGAAAGTCGAACTGAAATCAGGAAAATTTATGATACTTTGCATGGATCAGATAACTGTTTCATGTTTTGGCTGAGGCAGAAAAGATTGTTGATCATTGACGTGTGATTCAACACCCTCTTTTATTTTTTTTCCCTAAATACAGTTATTTGCCGGAAAGAAAAATTCTAGATGGAATATCCTTTGTTGTGCCAGCAGGGAAAAGTGTGGCAATTGTTGGTACTAGTGGCAGCGGTAATTCAAACTCCTTGCTAGAATATCCAAGTTGACGAATCACAATTAATCTACTTGCAACACCATTACTTAGATTCTGTTTTGTCAATGGCAGGCAAGTCCACCATTCTTAGATTGCTATTCAGATTTTTTGACACAGATTCTGGAAATGTAAGCATTGGCTCACTCCATTTCTGGATTCAGGGCCCTCCCTCTTATGTGACCATTGTCGGAACGAATGTTAATCTCTTTCGCTTAGGTTCTGTTACCTATCAATGCCACCTAGAGAAACTTTTAATGACGAAAAGGGTTGGTGTCTGAGTTTTTAGTGAACATCTTCGCCACTTTTGTTAACAGGTAAAGATCGATGGGCAAGATATAAAGGAAGTGAGCCTAACTAGTCTTCGGAGTTCCATAGGCGTCGTTCCTCAAGATACCGTAAGTTGGCTTTTAACCATTCTTTTTTTTTGTTTTTGTTATAGTCCTCTAATTGGAAGGTTTCTGTTAGTATGGTAAGTTTTCGTTGTTCTTGACAGTAACCCTACTTCAAACAGGTGCTGTTCAATGACACAATATTTCAGAACATTCACTATGGACGTCTCTCGGCAACAGAAGAAGAGGTATTGGACTATCTTTGTTTCAGAAACCGGGCTGCATATTATCCTCGTTTCCTTTTCCTATTCATCTTTTTTTTGGTCCAGGTATATGATGCTGCTCGGCGTGCAGCAATCCATGAAACGATTTTGAATTTCCCTGAAAAATACTCCACAGTGGTTGGAGAAAGGGGGCTCAAGGTGAGTGGCATTGGAGTAGGTGTGAGTTTGAGATGTACGTTATCCTCTAATGGCCTTTCCTTAAAACCAGTCTTGAGTGGTGATGTTGTGTGTGCAGTTGAGTGGTGGCGAGAAACAACGAATTGCTCTTGCTCGGGCATTTCTTAAATCCCCTGCCATCCTGTAAGTAATTGCAGACTACAGAAAAAAAAAATCCTCTGCTCCGACAGGATTGATAACCGAAAATCGATGTATTTGAGAGATGTCTCTTCGAAATGTGGGCAGGTTGTGTGATGAAGCAACAAGTGCGCTCGACAGCACAACCGAGGCGGAAATACTGAGCGCACTCAAGTCGATAGCGAATAACAGGACTTCCATCTTCATCGCGCACAGGCTGACAACTGCAATGCAATGCGATGAGGTAAAGTTGTACTTATTTTTTGGTGTTCTTACATTTGCTTGGAACTGAAACTGAAACTGGTCGGGGATGCAGATAATAGTTCTGGAGAATGGGAAGTTGGTGGAACAGGGATCGCACGAGGCTCTACTAGGGATTGCAGGAGGAAGATACGCCCAGCTATGGACCCAGCAGAACAGCACTGTGGATTCCCTCGATGGGTTTATCAAATTGGAGGCCGATCACCTCAAACCTTTGTAAGAATCTCTCTGTAAAAATTCACATTTTATATCCGTTGTGGTTGAAGGCCGACAAATAAGCGGATGATGCCATCATGATCATGTGATAATATTTTTATTTATTTACTTACCGGCAAATCTCGGCGGTTCTGTTTTGTAGCAGTACCCTTTAGTATCAGTGTCATGATCTATTGTGTACCTTTTTAATACCATGATCTATATAATAAAGTTTCTGCTCTGAATTTTTTATGGAATTTTCCCAATTTTATATGAAAATATTGCATTTAAATTATTTTCTAAATAATCCGTATTGACGAGGTAATGAGTTTAAAAAAAAAAATAGAATCCGAATTTGGCGCAGAATTAATTAATTATATAATATAAAAGAAAAGCCCAAAAAGCCCAAGCCCGTCATCGAGGCCCAAGAGGGGGAATGGGAGAGATTTGAGATTCAGGTGGTTTGTTTACGACTTCATTCCAGTTGAATCGAGATCGCGGGATCGATGGAGGAGTACCCGGAGGAGCTGAGGACGCCGCCGGTGAGTCTGGTGGCTCTGGTAGGATGCTCGGAGGTTCATGCCTCCGTCGCTAAGCACCTCCATTCCCAGCAGCCTCCCATCAATCCTCTCGCCTTCCCCGACATCTCCCACTTCTCTCTCCTCTTCTCCCCTCAGCATCAGACTCACCGATCCTCTTCTCTCCGAGATCCTCTCTCCCTCCCCGACTCCTCTTCTCAGACTTCCAGCGGCGGCGGCGGCATCTTGAAACGTGATTGGTTGCTCAAGCATCGCACCAAGGTCCCTTCTCTCATCGCCGCCTTCTTTCCCTCTCATCACATCTCCGGCGATCCCACTCAGTGGCTTCAGGTCTGCTCCGATCTCGACGTCCTCAAGTATTTCCTCTTCTCTCTCTCTCTCTCTCTCTCTCTCTCTCACACCCTTTTCCCCAATTACTTTTCCTACAAAATATGCCGGATTAACATCTCGATTCTCATCCCCAGATCCGTAATTCGTCCGAAGAACATCAAATTGGTGCTCGTGGTGGTCCAGTCTTCTACCCATGGTAACATTCAACGTTTTTTCGCTCTTATTGCTGTCCCTTCACCAGCCCTCGTCGCTTACTCTTCCTTGGCTTCTCGTTTGTATAGAGGAAATGAGCGAAGATCGTCTAACGGCACTGCGCAAGCGTGCTGAATTAGACTCTAAGTACGTGCTTTTCTTCGATCCCAACGTGGACTCTGAACTCAAGCTCTCTCTCTCCAGGCACGTTTCTCTCCTCTTGTCTTATGCAACACAACACACCATCTTTGTTCTCGGCATTACCTGTTGTACAATATATCTGCAGGATGGCGTCAACATTTGCAGAGTTATCCCTTACCTATTACAGGGAAGAGGGACGAAGAATCAAAACTCGAATTGAGAAAAAGAACTTCAATTCCATTGACTTGAATGTTCGATACTGCTTCAAAGTATGCTTTTCCATTTCTTTGGCTTAATTGAACCACTCTATTAAGGTATATGGGGAAACCGAGACTCATTCATCACACCATGACTGCTAGGTCGCTGTATTTGCAGAGTTTCGTCGAGAATGGGCTGAAGCCTTGAAGTTTTATGAAGATGCTTACACCACCTTGCGTGATGTATTTTCTTTGTCACCTTTTCCGTCTTATTTCCCTTGCACTCTGTCATATACATCATAAGTTTTCTACTTTAGTTGACAAGCCTCTCTAGATACGTAAATGGTCGTCACAGTCGGCACAAATCTGCCACTTCTTTAGACTGAGGAGTTTCATTTCTTCAAACAGATGATTGGTACATCGACAAGGTTGCCTGCAATTCAACGCTTGGTCGAGATTAAAACTCTAGCAGAGCAATTGCATTTCAAGATATCCACACTTTTATTACACAGTGGAAAGTTCGTAGAGGCTGTGACATGGTTTCATCAGCATAAAGCGTCATATGAGAAGGTTGTTGGATCTCCAGAAGTCATTTTTCTCCACTGGGATTGGATGAGCCGGCAGTTTCTTGTTTTTGCTGAGTTGCTGGAGACAAGTTCAACAGCTGTTCAAAGCACTTCATCCTTAAACCAAGGAACAGCTGAAAGACTTTTGACTGAGTTTGAGTTTTATCCTGCATATTACTATCGGGTCAGGCATTTTCTCTTATGTTTACTAGCGAAAATATTAATATCCAAACAGTGTTGGCTTTTCTATTTTTTTTTTCAGTTCATTTTTTTCTTCCTAAAATATTTGTGTTTTCATCTTGTGTCTGTTTCCTCAAAGCAGTTAGCTGCTCATTACCTCAAGGAGAAGAGATCTGCTCTGGAACTTGTGCTGTCAATGTCGGAAGCTGCTGAAGAGAATGATAGCAACTCTGAGTCTGTTGCACCATCACTCTATGTGGGTCAGTTTGCTCAGTTACTTGAGAAGGGAGAAGCTCTTACATTTCACCCGTAAGTAGTTTGTGGTTAATGCCTACACATCAGTGCCTATCTTTAAATATCATTGTGTAATATGTTTTGCTTTTCTATTCTCTTGTTTTACAGTATCACAGATAGAGACTACACGCGGTTTGCAATTTCTGAAGCAAAGAGATTTCAGGATTCCTTTGAAATTATTGCTTGGCTGAAAAAATCTTATGAATCATTTTCCAACCTTAAGGTCCAGAGGATGGCTGCTCTTTGTGGATTTGAAGTAGCTCGGGAGTACTTTGGTTTGGCTGATTACATCAACGCAAAGGAGTTTTTTGATATTACAGCAAGCTTGTACAGACAAGAAGGCTGGGTAACTTTACTTTGGGATGTGTTAGGATATCTGCGAGAGTGTTCGAGAAACCTTGGTGCTTTGAAAGATTTTGTAGAAGTTTCCCTTGAAATGGCTGCTCTACCTGTAACATCTGCCACTAGCCTCCCGTCTTCTGCGTACAAAGAATATGGTCCTGGCGGGCCTGCCAATGATTCAGGAAGAGAAAGTATACATCGAGAAATTTTTACTCTAGTGTGTGGTGGAACGGAGCTGTCACCTGAGGGAGAAAGTAATCTCAAAGTAACCAGTGATAGTCCCCTTCGTCTTGAGATTGATGTCATCAGTCCCCTAAGACCCGTGCTCTTATCTTCTGTTGCTTTTCACGAGCAGATAATCAAGCCTCACGCTTCATGCTTTATTACTTTGTCACTGCTGTCTCATCTACCAGTTCCCGTTGACATAGATCAGCTGGAGGTCTATTTCAATCAATCAGAGTGCAATTTTATAATTAGGAATGCCCAGAGGCCTTTACTGGATTCTGTATCTGATGGTGAATCTAGTGGTCGCCGAGTAGAGAGTGAGCCATCACTGGTGCTTGTGCCAAGCAAATGGTCACGCTTAACATATGAAATTAAGCCTGGTGAGTGGAGTTATTTTTAGAGGTTTTATTTGAATCTTATTATTTTACCTCCATCTGTGGTGATTTGTTACATCGAAACCGTAGGCCAATTTCAATCTTTTTACCTAGTTACAGTGTTGTATCAAATTCGGGTTTTAACCTAAAACACTGTTCTGGAACTTCCCAGAAAAGCAGGCCCAAGTATGATTGTTTCTGGATTCAATTTCCAGTTTATCGGTTCTCACATTAGTTCTTTTCTGCTGGCAGATCAAAGCGGCAAGCTTGAATGTCTATCCGTTCTTGCAAAATTAGGACCCCACTTCACGATCTGTTCGAGAGCTGAAAGCCCTGCATCAATGGGGGATTTACCTATCTGGAAGCATGAGAATCGTTTTGAAACTCTTCCAACAAAGGACCCGATTCTTGCATTATTTGGGCAGAAAGCTACCCAAGTCGAAGAACCTGAACCGTTGGTGGATGTCACTCTAGGCGCTTCTGGCCCTGCATTAGTTGGTGAGGATTTCACAATGCCTATCATGATAACTTCAAAGGGCCACTCTGTATATAACGGTGAACTCAAGATTAACCTAGTGGATGTGAAAGGTGGTGGTTTGTTTAGCCCCAGAGAAGCAGAACCATTCTCTTTAGAAAGTCATCATGTGGAGCTCTGTGGTATTACCGGGGCAGAGGGCAGCAAGGATTCTCAGTCTGAGGCAGATAAAATAAAGAAAATTCAGCAATCTTTCGGGTTGGTTTCTGTTCCAGATCTAAAGGAAGAGGAGTCATGGTCTTGCAAACTAGAAATCAAATGGCACAGACCCAAACCTGTCATGCTTTTTGTGTCGTTAGGTTACTCGCCACATGGCACTAGTGAAGTCAATGCCCAAAAGGTTCACATTCATAAGAGCTTGCAGATTGAAGGGAAGACTCCGCTTTTGATTAGCAATCGGTTTATGTTGCCATTCAGGAGGGACCACTTACTGCTAAGTATGATCAAACCGGTTCCTGATTCTGAAGACATACAATCTCTCCCCTTAAATGAAAAAACTGTGTTAGTAGTCAATGCCAAAAATTGCACAGAGATTCCACTAAAGCTGGTGTCTATGTCCATCGAAGGTGATGACGAGGTTGGAGGAACTTCATGTATGATTTTGCATGCGGATGGAGATGGAGACCTCTCAGACTGTGCAGATCTTATACCGGGAGAAGAGTTCAAAAAGGTTTTCATCGTGATTCCGAAGGTGAAAACCCCGAAGCTCGGTCTTGGAACAGTGAATCTAAAATGGACAAGAAGGCAGCAAGGGAACAACATCAGAGAGGAATGGGTTTCTACTACAAAACACAAACTCCCTGATGTAAACGTGGAGGCATCGCCATTGGTTGTGAGTTTGGACTGTCCTCCTTATGCAATTCTTGGAGAGCCTTTCACGTACGCAATCAGAATCCGAAACCAGACACAGTTGCTGCAAGAAGTGAAGTTTACTCTGACGGATGCGCAGAGTTTTGTCTTGTCCGGTTCTCATAGCGGCACGGTCTCGATTCTTCCAAAGTTAGAGCACATCTTAAGTTACAAAATAGTACCGCTTTCGTTGGGACGGCAGCAGCTGCCGACTATTACTGTGTCATTTGTGCGATTTTTCGCCGAGTTTCAGCCGTCTGCCGTGGCTTCTAGCGTCTGTGTTTTACCTTCAAGGCCTCAAGCCAAGTCTGCTGCCGAGTGATATCATCATCGGACAGATTTTTTGTTGTTCTTTTTCATGGTTTTGACGAGTTAGGTTCTTAAGAAGAGCAGACGGCAATTGAGTTAATGTGATGTTAATGCAACGATGTCCATCCACCTTACCCGCATTTTTTTTTAACTCTTGAGATGTCAGACGAGATTTCTATTTGTAAACTATTTTTTTTTTTTTTTTTCAAGAATCCTCCTTTAATTTTTTCAATCCTTAAATTTTTTTTTATGAATAGAAATTTTATAAATATCTATTGTTCGTATGTAGTAGTAATACTATAGTATAAATACATAGAATTATTTTCCATATATAAGTGAGGTTGTCGTTTCCGAGATACAAAAGTTCGAAGAGGAAAGTGGGGGAGACAAAGGCGTCTGTATTTTGATTTGACAATTCAACAATCAAGTGGATGACACGTGGCGAAAAGGGTGTCGCTTGGACAATTGGCGTGATGTGCGAGGGAAATAAGGAGAAGGGGAGGGAGAGGGCGAAGCTATTTTTATAAGGCTACGATCGAAGAAGAAGAAGAGCGATCGAAATCTGGAAATGGCTCCGGTGACGGATGTATCGGCGATGATAACCACGAGTCTGGAGGCCCCAGACGAAGCGTTCGACAAAATAACGCAGCTGAGCTCCGGCAAACCTCCCAGGAATCTCTCCGTAATCCGCCATTGCAGCAGCAGTGCCTGGTTGATCGATTCCGTTGGTTCATCTCTCTTCTTTGCTGATTTCTTTCCGTCCATTCCTTTTTCTCGCGTATCTTCAATCGGATCTATTATCTATCAGGCTCTGAAAACGGCGGATGACAGATATGGTTCCAGTTCAAACTTATTTATTTGTCCTCTGCTATGATCTGTTGCAGGAAGGAGATGATAGATTTGGTTCCAAGTCTCCAATAAATGAGGTTTCCAAGTTTCAGCCAATGTTCCGATCTGGTAGTTGCTCGGACAAAGGTCCCAAACAGTTCATGGAAGATGAATTCATATGCGTGGACGATCTTCAGGGGCATCTCGGCTCTGCAGCAAATGCCTCCCCTCCAGGAGCTTTCTACGGGGTGAGAGATCAAATTATTTGGCCGACCCTTTGGAGGCAATCTCTTTAGGAAAAGAAAGATAAGATCTTGATTGTTGAGAGATCACTCTACATGTTGTAGGTGTTCGATGGACATGGCGGGGTAGATGCTGCATTGTTTGCAAGGAAGAACATGCTCAAGTTCATAGCCGAAGACCAGAACTTCACAACCAGCAGGAAGAAGGCTATAAGGAGCGCGTTCGTGAAAACAGACCACGCATTGGCAGATGCCTTGTCCCTCGATCGAACCTCTGGCACCACCGCCCTCGCTGCCCTGATCTTGGAAAGGTGGTATGATAAATCTCTGTTGACATGATGCGGCATTGTTTCTTACACTGATGAACATGACAGAATGTAAGGGGGAAAATGCAGGACAATGCTGATAGCAAACGCGGGAGATTCAAGAGCCGTGCTGGGGAAACGAGGGAGAGCGATCGAGCTATCAAAGGATCACAAGCCGAACACCACCTCGGAAAGGCTAAGGATCGAGAAACTCGGGGGCGTAATCTACGACGGATACCTCAACGGGCAGCTGTCGGTGGCTCGAGCGCTGGGCGACTGGCACATCAAAGGAGCCAAAGGGTCCAAGTGCCCGCTGAGCTGCGAGCCAGAGCTGGAGGAGATAGTGCTGACGGAAGAGGACGAGTTCTTGATAATGGGATGCGACGGGCTGTGGGACGTGATGAGCAGCCAGTGCGCGGTCACGATGGTGAGGAAAGAGCTGATGAGCCACAACGACCCGGAGAGAAGCTCGAGGGCGCTGGTGAAGGAGGCTCTGCAGAGGAACACGTGCGATAATCTGACGGTGCTGGTTGTCTGTTTCTCGCCGGAGCCGCCGCCGAAGATCGAGATCCCTAGGTCCCACAAGAGGAGGAGCATCTCCGCCGAAGGCTTGGATCTCCTCAAGGGTGTCTTGAACAACGACTGATTCAGCTTGTTTTTTTTTTTTTCCCGACGCCGGCTTGTGAACACACGTTTGAGAGATGAACTTTTTTCTGTTGTATGCCTTTTGCTTCTGAGAAGTTTTTAACTCTTTTTGTAGTTCAAAAGCTACAAGTTTTGATCCGATATTTTTCTTGCAATAATAAAATTGTCGATCAGTTTAGATTGGAGATGGACAGTTTGGTTTTGTATCGGATCCATTCGAACCAACATTTAACTTTATTGTATAGAATCCGATATAAAAATCAGAACTGTACTTAGATATATCCGGGGAAAAGTATGCACACTAACTTGGATCTTCTCTCGGGGGATTTTCGGTTCGGTTCAGATAATGGATTATCATTATGGACGTTTCAGGGCGATTCTTTGGAATCGAACCATACTGAATTAAAAATATGATATTTTTCTCCGAATCGTTCGATATAACCGAATTTTCTAAAATCGAACCGAACCGAATTATAAAAACCCGGAAAACTAAACTTTTCTTAAGAAAATTTTAATTTTTTTAATAAATCGAAACCGAACTGGAATCGAACTGAACCGAATATAAAATAATAATCGATTGACATATAATTTTTTAAAACAAGAAAAAATCGAATCGAATTATTCCTTAACAGAATACCGAAACGCAAACATAATCATTACCGTTAGGGAACGGGAGATGTGTAATGGGCCAAGATGGGCTTTTAAATAATACTGTAAGCCAGCCCAGAAAAGAAGGCGGGGCCCACAGTTGGGACGAAGGCGTGATAAAGTTGGCCACAGATACGTGGAGGTGCAGATTTGATAGCGACGTCTACGTTTCAAACGCAAAACACCATGTCCTCTCCTCTTCTCTTTCTTTCAATTATTGTTTTGATAGCAATTTCTACTATTCTTCTAGCTAAAATCTCATTTCTTTTTTTTTTATAAATACAATTATTAAATAAATTCATTCCCTGTGAATCTTCTAGACACCAATTACTCCACGGATCAATGCGTTATGGAGTTCAAACCGACAATAAACCAGAAATGATATTCTGAGTATTTTGTTTAAACACTAAATATCGTTTGATTTGTTCCTCATTTATTATTGGTATATTATAAAATCTGTTATATAAATATCAAGTGAGACCACTCGTTCCTCCTTGATTCGTCGTCGGGCGAAGACAGAGACCGAACAAAAAAATTTCATATGACGAGACAGTGACCTCCTTCCTTTCTCTTCACGAATCTCCCAAGTTTTTCTCTTTTCTCTTTTATATTTCATCGTCTGGAACTGGAACTGAAACCATTTCTGAGATTCAGATCCGACAAAATCGGGGAACAATGGGGAACTACGATCAGGAATCGGCAGGATCGTCGTCGCAGACGTTACCTTGGATTCCGACAGAAGACACGCCTCTGTTGGGACCGCGGAAACTGTCGTCTCACTCGAAAACATTCGCGAATGTGTTCATCGCCATTGTAGGGGCAGGAGTGCTGGGCCTTCCCTACACCTTCAAGAAGACGGGATGGCTGATGGGTCTGCTAATGCTTTTCTCCGTCGCCGCTCTCACCTTCTTCTGCATGATGCTCCTCGTCCTCACCCGTCGCAAGCTCGAATCCCTCACCGGCTTCTCCGAGATCGCGTCCTTCGGAGATCTGGGCTTCGCCGTCTGCGGACCCGCCGGTCGTCTCGCCGTCGACGTCATGCTCGTCCTCTCCCAGGCCGGCTTCTGCGTCAGCTACCTCATCTTCGTCGCCACCACTCTCGTCAATCTCTTCAGCCGCGGCGCTCATCGGATTCTGGGTCTGGCCCCTTCCTCCTTCTACCTCTGGGGATGTTTCCCTTTCCAGTTGGGTCTGAATTCCATCCCGACCCTCACCCATCTCGCCCCTCTCAGTATTTTCGCCGATATCGTCGACGTCGCCGCCACTCTCGTCGTTATGGTCCAGGACGTTCTCATCTTCTTGGAACGACGACCTCCTCTTCGTGCCGTCGGGAGCCTCTCTGTCTTCTTCTACGGCCTCGGCGTCGCAGTCTACGCATTCGAAGGGATCGGCATGGTACTCTTTCTTCTTCTTTCTTTTCTCTCTTCTTTTCTTATCCTTTGAACCAAAGCTAAGAGCCTGGATATGGGTGGCGGAACCAGGTGCTGCCGCTGGAGCTGGAGGCGAAATACAAAGACAAGTTCGGGAAGGCACTGGGGCTGGCCATGGCATTGATCTCGGTTATGTACGGAGCGTTCGGCGTGTTGGGGTACATGGCCTACGGCGAAGAGACCAGAGACATAATAACAACGAACCTGGGAACGGGGGTGGTGAGCACACTGGTGCAGCTAGGGCTAGGCATCAACCTCTTCTTCACCTTCCCGCTCATGATGAACCCTGTCTACGAGGTCATCGAGAGGCGGCTCTGTGGCTCACGCTACTCGATCTGGGTCCGCTGGTCCACAGTCCTCGTCGTGACCCTCGTTGCTTTGCTCGTCCCTAACTTCGCCGACTTCTTGTCCCTTGTCGGAAGCAGTGTTTGCGTCGTGCTCGGCTTCGTCCTGCCCTCTCTGTTCCACTTCCGGGCTTTCAAGGACGAGCTTTCCCTCAAAGGAATGGTGGCCGACGTTCTCATTCTTCTTGTCGGCCTTGTCATCGCCGTGTCCGGCACCTGGACCGCCTTGCAGGAAATTTTGGCCTCCAAGGACTGATTCTGGTCCTGAAACTGAATTCATTTTATGTAATATACCGTACATTACTCTCCTCCAACTTACCCTGTTTTGTTTAATCACATCACCTCCTATATTTGTTTCCCTCTTATGAAATGCGATGATCTATGATGGAATTGAACTCAGCCCAGTTTTACTAGAGCTGCCTTGAATCTGTAATCTTAACATAAAGAGTAAATCTGGATAGTTTCTGTTTTTCAGCAAAAATATTCTGAAATTCACATCTGAAAACATCCTAGAAATGATACACAGACAAGAACAGACACCAGCTCTCAACGCCTGGACCTTGACTCAGCAGTTCTTCTCGCCTCGTCCAGCGTCGATGGGAACAGCTCCACATACCTTGTCCCGATCGACATCTTGTCCTTAGCCATCGCCCTCTTGGCCTCCTCTGCCGTCTCGAACTCCACGTATGCCTCTCCAGTGGCCTTCCCGTCTGGCCGATACACTATGCGTATCCTTTCTTCAGTCACCTTGTACCCGCCAAAAAACTCTACGATCTGAGATTTCTTCACTGAATAAGGGAGGCCTCTCACCTTGAGAACCTCAGCGTATTCCACCTTATCTTTCTCACTGAACTTCTTTGCATTGGAGGGCCCGTTATCGTCATTTCCATAGATTCCTTCGTAGTTTACCTCAGCAGCCACAGCATTGTAGTAATCCTGCTTGTAGCACCGGAAAACCTCCACATATCTCCGGCCCATATTCTGTCGGTCTCTCTGCAGTGCAATCTCCGTCTGCATAGGCCCAGCAAATACAACAAATGCCTCTCCGGAGAATCTTCTGTTTTTGTTGACCAGGAAGACATCCACGATGTCCAATCCGGCAAAAAACTTGAAGATGTCCACGTCAGTGCAGTTGAAAGGAAGACCCCTCAAGCGTACCACAGGGAATATCGGTGGCTGAAATCCGCCACCATATCCGTAGGGTGGGATGCCGCTGCCAGCTGCAAAGTATGTATTTGATTGCATCATTCTTTGTCTCTTTGAGCCGACCTCCGAAACCCCCCCGCTTCCCAACATTGCCCTTCAATTATGCAAACAAAAGAAACCCGAAAAGATCCCCCTCTCATCCAGTTAATATAACCATACCCAACCCAACCTTCCCTGGCATCTGTAACTATCTCTATATCCTCTCTAAGCAAACATCGTATGACCCCTACACCAATAACATGTCTCGAAACTCGAAAGTGCATCTACGGCTTGCAATTGCCAAACATTCGCCACTCGCAACACAAAGCATAAACTTGAAAACAAAAACAGGGCAATGATTCATGGAAAATGAACGATGCGAATGGAAACATCATCCAAGAGAAAAAAAAAGACGCAAACAGAAAAGAAATGAGGCAATTTTGACACCAAAGGCAGATGTGACTATGTGAGGGCAATTTCTGACGAAAAGGCTACCCCATAGAGTTTCCCATTAGTATCCGACAAGCAGACCATACCCTGTTGTTCTACATGATGTAACTTGTACACCCCTAAGCCCAGAATCGACCAACAAGATCCCAATCGGACACCGATTATACACATATATGCATCAGCTGGAATTCTTAAAGGCCTTAAACTACTTGGACGTTCCTAATGCAATTCGTCGGAGACCGAGGGCAAACAATTAAATGATGAAGGAAAAAAAAGAATAAGGAGAAGAAACAGATAAACGAGATGGAGATGGCGTTCTTCCAAAAATCACTGCTTACCCTCTGGATCCGTACATGACCTGTCGGGTCGGTACCTCGCTGATTTCCAGAAATTCAATTCTCCGACTCTGCGGGGGCGGGGAGGGAAGGTGGCGTGCCCTAAATAACCCCCCAAAAAAATACTTGCCTCTCCAACCCGAAGGGTCTCGGATAAGCCCAACAAAATGGGCCTATTTACCTTTAAATGGGCCTTAATGGCGAATGCCATTATTAATCATCGCCCATCTACATGCCTCATGCTTTGGTTTGCAATTAGTTCGAAATTAATAGATGCAAAGAGCTTGGACGACCTGATCATCAATTTGGGATGAAAATCAAACCTGTCGGAAAATATTTGACCGAACAAAATTTAAGTATTTGAGCCTTTTGAATCCACATCGCTTTTCTGACGTATCCAAACACTATATATATATATATATATACAAATATATCAAAACAATTAATAATATCAAATGGATTGGCATATGAGGCCGTTTAAACAAAAAACAAAATTGAATATACAAATTTAACATATGGTGTTATTGAAGCTGTTGATCTCTGACAACGGGAACAATTAATTTCTCCTAAACCGTAACAAGGCCTGCCTGTCCGCATGGAACCGAATGATTTAGAATTCGATGGCTCTGCAGACGTATTTGCTAACTCTTGTGGACAGTATCAGCCAAGGTATGATTCCAACCTGCACCTCATAATCAAACAAGAAATATTCATCTACCAAACAGAATTGGAGTGATCTATAAAGCAGAAACCCTAAAAAGTGCCCCAAAAAAAAACAAAAAAAGATTGAGAAACAAGAGAAGAATGGATGACCATAACATGGCCGCTCAGCTCCCCTCCTGCTCCCCAAGATATCAAGCGCCCTACGATAAGGTGTAACCAAAATTATAGCAGCTTAATGGAAGATCCTCTGTTTCACTGAGCTTCTTGTCTTATGCACATATATGTATATATATATCTGAAGCTGCATCAGGTATATGCTAATGTAGAAAGCATAATACGCCATGACCGCTAAAGAGATTTAGCAATTGGGAACATGTTAGGGTCTCACCAAAGGGCTGCACCAGTTGTTTAGGGACAATGGCGATCGGGCTCCTCCAGAACCAAAACACCCAGGAGATATATATCACAGCCTATATACAACGAGTGAGGGGTAGAGACTCGGTAATGCAATGGGCTCAGATGCAATGAAGAAGCTTGACTAACACCAAATACTCACCTTGGAAACAAATAGAACCTTTCCGTACAGCTCGTAAGACAGGTTTATTTCTCTCTTTTGCAGCTCCAGGCCTGAAATGCAGAAATGTATTATACAGTTTCATCACTACAATATGGAGAGGTGTGCCTCTTTATGTAAAAGATAGTGAAGCATGCCTAGCTGAGAGAGAGAGAGAGAGCAAGCTACCAGAAACAAAATCAAACTGGAGGCTTGGACCCCTCTATCAGGTATAAACCTTGTAAAACTGAGCCAAATGGTTCAGAGCCAAAGAGAAAAGAGTTCTATAGTCTAAGGTCACGATTCGATGTTCATGTATTCCTGATAATATTCAGATCTATAGCTAACTGTGATCAGTATTCTGAATGCCAAAATACTGTTTGCTCTGTGGTTAACCAGTGAAAGCATCCAACAAGAAGACGCATACCCAAAAACTAAGAGTAAACAGAACCTAATTTCTAGCAAGAAGAACATACTCACATTTTGCAAGTTCCTTTTCCTTAGCAGCCGCCAACCTCCTAAGTTTTGCCGCTTGGGCGAATGTGGATGGCCTACGAACAAAGAGGAAACCCTGATGAAATACACAAACCCTAATCTGGATTTCTCAAACCATGCGGCCTGATTATGTGCCTAATCTCTAATAGATGAAAGGTATAAAAAAGAACAGCACTCGTCGTCATCATCAGACAGACGCCGAATTTAACAAAAACAAAATGCCTCTTACTCAGAAAAGGTGCCGGCCTCTTTCAAGAGACGCTTAATTTCGGATCGCAACTCGGCTTCTCCCGTGTTCCTGGATCCGTTCTGGAGAGAGAATTCAAGTAAATCAAATCTCAGATAGATGGAACTCAAAATCTGGAAGAATGCAGGGCCAAAGGGTTACCTTCTTTAATCGGTCGAGCCACTTTGACAGCAACTGGAAAAGGACGACGATGAAGAAGGACAGAGGAGCGACGAAATGGACGCGACTGTGCACCAGGCTTTCTCCTCCCATGGCGCTTCGCTGATGATCGATCTGGAATTCTCGTGGGAAATCTCAGGAGTTTCCTTCCTCGGTGTTTTATCGTTGGGCTATTATTGTTTACACAATCTCTCCGAGGCAAGCCCAAACAGTACTTCTTTAAAATCGAAAAAAAAAATCAAACCGATCTAAACCAAATAAAATTTAATTAAAAAACCGAATTTTCTTAAATTAACCTGAATCAAAATAAAACCGAATTCAATATAAACATCGGATCGTTAAGTTTTTTTAAACCGAAATAAATATAATCTAACCGACTTCCAAAATGCCCAACAGAAAGAAAATCGGTTTAAAAATCTAGACCAAAAGATTCGTGAACCATTTAAACCTGAAAAATTCCGACAACAGTCAGGTTCGTGAATCATTCATAAACACGGTTTAAAAATAATAATAATCTGCGAAATATCATGTTATGGTTAATAAATATCATAGTCGAGCTAGTACTTTATGCTCTCTTTTTGTATTCATACAGCAAAAATATACGATACTTCTTTTTGTACTTGTTTTTAAAAATCATGTTATCTAGGGATGTAAAACGAGCCGCGGATCGTGGGTCGGCTCGTGAGTCGATCCACATTTTTCCGAGTTGAGTTCAAAATATTTGAATCCAGAAAAAATCGGGTCTCGGGTAATTCACGGGCCAAAAAAATATTTTTTTTAATTTTAATATTTTAATATATTTTAAAATATTTTTATATACAAATTATATTTTTTTTATTACATATTTAGTTTGTTTTTGTTTAAAATTTTATTTTATTTTATTATATTTTAAATATTTTTTAAATATAAAAATTAGTTTTAAATATTTTTAGTATTAAAATTTTATTTTAAAAAATTATATATTTGGTTCGCGGGCAGATTCACGAGCTAAGACGATATGAGTTGGGTTGATATATTTAAGCTAGCTAAAAAACAGGTCGGACTGGACTGGACTAAAATTTTTCCAGATCGGAACGAATCGGATTGGACTGATTCAGACCGGTCCGTTTTACACTCCTAATGTTATCTCAATTCGGATATAGCTTTACGGGTATTCACAGATTCGGATTTGAACGGGAGACGGGTATCCGAAAATCAGATATAGACGGAGAATGGTTAGGATGCTGCTTAGGCGTGGCAAGCGACAAGAAATAGGATCCTCCACCTGAATGAAACAACTGCTGCTTCCGTGGTCTGAGCAGTAACAAGAAACATAAATGAGAACAAGTTCGGCTCTCAGGCCAAGTAAATGAAAGAATAAACGTGGGTATTCACTACTAAGAAGAATTCACAGTAACAATTTGAAAGGAAAAAAAAAAGATCAGACGGATAACAGTAGATATTCAAGATCTAGGCTTGTGGAGACGAGGCCGGTTGCAAAAGATCCTGCCGTTGGCCCTCACGAACATCCCTACGGCCAGGCCGATGCCCGCCCACATGACCGAGAAGAACAACTGCCTGTAATCACGCCCAGCTGCACACCAACACTGACTGTAAACATCTATCTTCCATGACTCGGACTATGACTCTTGACTGTTGGTTCCAAGCTCCACCTACTCAACAAAGTCCAATGACAAGCTACAGAATCGCCTTACCTTGTTTCAGAGACGTTGTGGCGAAAAATAAACTGATCAGGACCACCGATAGTGCTGCTGGGAAGTTCTGAGAAATGAGACAAATTGTGACACTTAGACTATAGAATCTACATTATTCATATCATATGCCGAGGTAGTTAGTTATTATCTGGTAAAAGAAACATACAGCTATGGCCTCAAGACCTCCCTTCTGAGCCGCTGGACCCATGTCTCTGCTCACGGCGACTATGTAGTGTCCTTGCAGGAGATCAATCGCATCCTTTGCACACGACCAAAACATGTAAAACACGACCACGACATGTTTCAGCTTCATGATGAAATTAATACACAACCAGGACTTGTATTCCTCAGCAGTTATGGATGCAGGATTGAGCAAATGATTTCAGACAGCATAATGGATATCGAGACACTGAGAATGACTGTCTAAAGTTGCCAACCTGCTTAGTTCCATCAGCAAAGTTGTTAAGGTAATAGCGTAGGAGGGCATTCCACCCATCCTTAAGGATCCCCTGTGCAGTTCGCTGCCCATACCTAGAATTCAACCAGTTAGAGTGTACTTAGAAAAAATTAGAGATTAAACAAACGAGATACCTGACGAAATCTCCTTTCAATGCAGGAGTGCCAGAATACTGAATGCTAATGTCATCACCGTGATTCGCCCATACTGAAGGCACATCACAAGCAACAAATATCAGCCCAGAATAGCTTATCAGAACCATCTACGCGGAAGTGCAAAAGGAGATATCCCCTGATAACAAAATACTGACATATTTTGTAGCATTCGTCAAAATTTGGATGTGAGCTTATAGTTTCTTCAGCGCCAAAAACACCAATCCTTTTCAGTTGAAATTCCAACATCTTTCGACCTATCATGCTCTGCATTCAGTAGTAAATGCGTCCAAGAATGAGCAAAGAACATTAAGAGACATCGGACAGTTAAGAGCAACATCAATTTATTTTGATCAACCTGGGTGACATTCGTACGATCTAGGCAATCTATGCAATTAGTCCGGACAACACCCAGTTGCTCTTTCATCTTCTCACCCTTTTCGTTCAACAAAAAGTACCTGGGTGATTCAATGGGAAGATAAGTTCGAAAAAAAACATTGACATAATGTTGCTTCATGGAAGAAGATTATCAACTTGTGGTTTCAATATCTTATCCCATAAAAGTCTAAGAAATTCATACCCGCTTTTTTCGAGAAAATCCTCGATCTGTTCATACAGAATTGATAACCGCTCAAAGTGAACATGCCCACAGATGCGATGAAAATCGAAGTGCAGGTATCTACACGATAGGGCATAATGAGTTTATAAGAACAATATAAAAAACCAAATAAGGATATTAGGAAAGGATTAACTACCTTACATCGTCACCAGTAATGTGCTGCATAGCACTTGCAAACTTCTCGCTTAAGCGCCCCTCACCTCCATGCTGGTCAGTGAAGAAGCAACAGAGTAAAAAAATTGGCGTACAACTATGAGACTGTGTTTTTATTTACTGATTATAGTACACATTTACATACTGGTCAAGACGAATCGACAAACAGGAGAGTTCCTGCACATTTGGTCCCATGATTATACAAACGTTCAAGTGAATTCAAAAGGATATGCACCTTATTGACAAGATCAGCTGCCAAAACGGATCCGTATTTTTTCCGCAGGTCCAGAAAGTGACGTTCAGCTATCCGTGGCTGAAAGAGATGTAATCAATGCAAGTAACTTAGATGAGCTAAATGTGCAAGAAGAGCTAACGATTAACAAGAAATCAACACTCACAGCTTCTTCCGGACGGACAATCTCGAACTTGGGCTTGTAAGTTAAATCTACGATTTGTTCCCACATGAAAGGCATCAAACCTCTAACCTACACAGCATAAACAGAATGACAATAACTAAGAAAATGACCACGGTCTCAGCACCCATTAGTTAAAATGCTAACCAGAAACAAATCGATGCGTCTGCAAATTGACAGAAGATTCGTAGCCTAAGAAAATTTCACAGGACGCAAGCATGGGAAGTTAAATAACCTGGACAAATGATGATGTGTATCCGCTTGTCTGGATAATTTGTTCAGTTTCCACAAAGTTAGCGACATAACCATCAGGGTCAGCTCCTCTTCGCCACATACGTGTACCTTGCAGAGGATACAAAATAAGGGTAAGACGACCAAAGATGTATAATCTAGATCTTCTGCAGCTGAAGACTTCCTGTCTCCATTAATCCAAAAGAATAAGTTTCTAACTGATAGTAAGGCACAAAGCTTCTTTTTCCCTAAACAGGTGAAAGAGCATCACATTTCATCTTCTAGAAAGAAAACAAAAACTTATATGGCTATTGGAGTGGTCAGACAAATCAATGAAGTTGCAGTAACCTACTTGTACCTTCACACTAGAAACTGAAATCAAGACTACCTAATGAATTTTGTCCATTCTTGTAGATTGATAAAATCTAACAGTTCAAAGTAATGTATATCAGGAAGAAACGAGCTGCAGCGTAGAAATTCAATTACCATTTCTCCTGGTGCACCTCCTAGCAATCAGAGTAATGTCAAAAATATCTCTTCCAATGGCTGTTTGAAAACTATGAAAACGTGATTACAAGTTAAGGAAATGCTTCAAAGCCGAGCCCAGGGAGGAGCATTACATTAACACAAAACGTAACCATGCGGAGGGAAACAAAAAGAACATATAACGAAGCAACTGATAGAAAAGGATATTCCCCTGAATTACTGGAAGCAAGAATTGATCTAGCTGCAAATATGAAACACCAAGACAAAAATACGAGTATTTGAGTGACAAATTACGAAAGAGAGAAAAACGAAGGGGAAAGAAACAATAGCTAAAAGAACCTAAGTAATATACTTACCTTGTTATCGATAAGTACTTCCAACATATAATTGTTCCAAAGAAACCTAGGCTCAGCCTGCCGTAAAGATTACAGTCCATTCAGTAAGAAGCAACAAAAACTCTTTGCTTGATTGCGTAAAAGCATCAACGTAGTCACCTGTCTCCACAAAGGAAGTGACTTAGACTCATCACCCAAGTCATGCAAGCGCTGTGCACTGAAAAGAATAAAAGGAACGATTAAACTAACAACATGCCAACCCAGACGCACAATTGTAAACTTCTCTGGATGTTTTTAGATCAATAACTTATTCATGCCTTGGGAAAGATTACATATACCTAGAGTTCAAGATTGGTGAATGTGTGCAGAATATCGCAGGAGATGAACCATTTACCTCAGTGTTAAGTTGATTTCATATGAGAAGTAAAGACCAGATGTCCTTTCGGCAACGCTTAACAGCCTAGAGAACTCAGTCTCCATCTTTTTCTGTGGAAAGTGGCAGAATTGATTTGAGGGTTATCCGTTGTTACAGCTCATATATTCAAGAGAAACCAGGAGACACGAGACGAGATTTCACCTGTTCTTCGGGCGAGTTTTTAAGGGAATGATCACAAGGAAGAACCTTGAGAGACGTAATTCTGAAAATAGGACGACCCAGAAACGACCCAACACATTCGCTCTCCGTCACGACCACCAAGTATGATCCTGAGAGAAGAAATATGGAGTGGCGTGAAAAAACTCGGATACAGAGCCAATTAGGGAATCGGAAGATGATATAACCTGCGAGGAGTTTGAGCATCCCAACGACACCGAAAATGGTGCTGATTTTTGGGACCCGGAGAGAGTTGCATTCGGTGACTTGTTCTGGGGATTCACCCAAACAGAATCAGACAAAAGAAAATGGCGAGAGAAATAAATGGATCAAAAGCAGAAGAAACGAACCGAGGATCTTCATGGAGCCATCAACACGACTAATATTAAGGCAGGAAGAGCCAGAGCCATCAGTAGGCTCGATGACATACTGATCAGGGAACTCCCATAGGCGAAGAAGAGAGTGTAACTTGTGCCTGCCCTCCCCACACGTTTCCATATCGAATCAACTGGAAACACACATAACATGATGAATATCGTCAGAAAATTACCATCCACCATGATTGAATCGTTCAGAACGAGAGAGCAGAACTCGATCATCAGACGAACCAGTTGCGATCGGCGTAAGACTCTCTTAAGCAGACAGAAATTGGCGAAGAAGAAGAGATCCGAAGGAGGAGAAAAGCGGAAGGGAGAATTCAAAATCTGAAAGGGAAGTGGGAGATGATTCCGCCGATTCTGGAGGCACTTCGACCCGTTCAACTCGTACAACTGAGCTGTATATATCGTCGGGGAAAACACGACGGAGACGGAGACGATGACGATCCCACAAAAGGCGAAACCAGCCCTCTGGATTACGTTTGGAATAATTATAATTTTACCTTTCTACTGTTGCTTTTTTAAATTTCAGAGAAATTTACCAAAATAAAATCCAAACTAATCTTTTTCCAAATAAATTTCAATTCACCTAAATAAATTCAAACTTTAAAATTATTTTGACTAGATTGACTGAGTTGAGCTATTATTCTTCTATTTTTTTTTAATTTTATTAGAAAATATGTGATTGGTTAGCTAACAGGAGTTGGATGCAATAGAAATAAATAATAGGCACCCATCAATTAAAGTATTAAACTGGGGATAAGCCGTATCCCAATTCTCGGCTATTCATTTACGATCTCATCCCCCTCGTTTGTTTTGATACTATACCGGTCTCGGTCTTACAAAACTGAATATACGCGGTCCGAGTCTGTATCATCGAAACCGAAATCGGGTATCGAGAATAGCCGAACTGAGGAAAATTTTCCAAATTTCACTTGTCCTTCTTTTGGAAAACTCGAATCTGAACCTACTGTGCGGAGATGGGGATTTATTGTTCGAGATATCGTCCGGTCCGCGGGATTAAACGGTGTCCGGTCCGAAAAGCCGTGAGACAGATTCTCACTGTTATAAAAAAAAATCTCGAACCTGAATTTGTATTACGAGTTTCAAGCGTCGTTGCACCATTTTCTATTTTGTCCATGATAACTATCCACGATCCAAATATCTCCGAGATAGGATATCCGAAAATCTATGGGTATAGCGTTTTTTGGATACACGAAAACCTACGGGTCTCGAGCAAAAATGCGACGCTATAGATACAACTAGGGAGAACACACGAGAAGCTAAAAGAATAAATAAAATGGCTGGATGAACAATAACGATAACCACAAATAGATATTAGTTAGTTATAACTATGTAATTATGTACATTAACAACAAAAACCCTGTAATTACATATGATAATTGCACTGTAATGAAATATCATATATCAAACGCTTGGAAAACCCTATAAGTACGAAGAGGTGGACGTTTCAGTAAGGTTGTTCGAAATTAAACCGTACCAAACCAAAAAATTATGTATTTTTACAAAATTTACGAATGATATTATTTTTAGAAAACTGATTTTTTTCATAACTAAACCGAACAGAACCGAATTTTAAAAAACCCCAAAAAGTATTTTTTTTTTTTAAATCTAAAATTTCTTAATAAAAACCGGAATCGAATCGAAAAGAATATAATATAATAACCGATACATATTTTGTAAAACCAAAAGATTCGAACAGAAATATTCCCGAATACGAAAACGCACACTCCCTAAAATACGTGGCTAGGCGCGATGTCAACGTGGAGGTGGTAAAGCTGTTGGATTTGGGATTGGGAGAGAATGCTCACCTTCTTCCTAAATCATCATCGGTACGTAATTAATTAATAACTAATTAGTGTTGATAATTATTAATTAAAGTGTATGATTCCGAAAAATTTACCCTCGATTGCACGGCTACGTATCCAATCAACTGGGCAGGGTTTCCACCAGCCATGCTTCAAAGAATCAATACGCATCTCCTATATTATATATATATATATATATGTATGTATATATACATGGAGAAGGAATACGTACATATATATATATATATAGATACATATACGTACCGGTAGGGAGGGATATGTGACGAAACAAGGGAAGCAGCAGCCACCCTCGCACCTTCACCGATGGTTACGTTGCCAAGCACAATGGCGCAGGACCCAATTATGACACCGTCCCCGATTTCTGAATGGCCGTCATTCCCTATTTTAACCCCCTGCACATTTTACATTTTATCAAACACGCTCATCGATCGTGTGTATATATATACACGTACGTATATATATGTACATATGTGTACATATTAAGATATAATAAACAAGTGAATTCCGGAGGCTTAATTACATGCATGAGCCAGACATTGTTTCCTATGGTAGCTGTCTGCCCGATGCCAGTCCCATGATCTAGTATCACTCCTTCTCCTATCCTTGCCGCTGTTCAAAACCTCATGTATGTATACATATATATACGCCCATATATATATATAGGAATACAACATCTACTCTCAAAGTACATATACACACAAACAGTTCCGAGTTAGTCTTGCACCATGCTGTACGGCTCGTGTATGATCTTTGTCATAATGTTAATTATTTCTCCTTAAATTCATGTCCAATCAAAATAGGGGTTAAGTACCTGGGTGGATATCAATCCCAAGAACCTGATAAATAGGCAAAAGCGCGATCAAATTATCAGACCCCAAGAATTCAAGCATATATATATATATATATATATATATATATATCGTATATGTATATGTATATATGAGCATATTGTTGTCTTGCTTAGTAACTTCTTGAACATCAGTGCTGAGGTGAAAATGTTGGTGGAGAGTAAGGTTCTGAGAGTGGTTTCATCTTCTTCAAAATCCATTTCGCTTTACTTGTTCCACATGGTTTGCAGGCTATTGCATGAAACGAGTGGATTTACTCCGCCAACGAATGATCGTGATGGTTCCTTCTGTTACGAAATTTTTTTTTGATAACGGTAAATCGATTAATCAACAAAATTAAGTTCTTTTACAATCATGAGCAAATGCTTCATCTGGTCCGGACCTTGACGAGACCGTGAAGCATCCGACGTACTATCGATTTAAATTCGCTTTTTAGCTTTTATATTCGATTCAATTTGTTTCGGTTTCTATTTTTGGATAAAAATATTCGTTTAGAAAAATCAATTATTTTTATATTATTTGATATTTTTAGTTTTAAAGAATTTATAATCCATTTATTTTCTATATATACTATATGGTTATCTATAACGGAACTGGAATCGAACGGAAATGTCCACCGTGTTCTAAACTGCCACATTCGAAATGGGCCGAGGCCCAATATAGAACCCAATATGATATATTAGAAACATCATGCATGTGTTATATTTTTACCCCCCTCAATTTGTTTCTCTTCCTTCTTTTCCCTCTCCAAGGAAAAAGAGAGAGAGACGAAATGCAGCAGGTGAGGTCTTTTAGATTTCGCTGTTTAAAGAGCTGAGCTGTATGACAGACAAGAATGATCTCTGTCTTTAAATGCCTACAAAAAGAGACCAAACACTCCAAATAATTAAAGATGGATCTGCAGGTGGATTTAACAAGGAATCAATGTAACCATGCGATGGAAATAAAATAAATAAAGACCTGCAAATCAAGGCGAATAGAACGCCGAACGCATCTGTCAGCGGCGACGACGCTGAGAAAAATGTCGAGAAGATGACAAGGGAGGAGGGAAGGGCCGTGGAGGCGATGGGCGAGGACGGAACACAGAGAATGTTCCAAGGACTGGTGGGACAATATACTCCCGTACATCAAGCTGCTTAAGATTGGTTCTTCTCCTGCCTGCTATACACACACACACATATATGTATCTATACATATTATATATGTATGTATCTATATGTATATTGCAATATGAATGGTCAAACATGGAGAGAGGAACGACAATGGAACCTGGAACTTGGCCTCTTCTCTAAGAGCTTGCCAGATTGGATCAGCTCCTCCATCGCTTATACCATCCATATTATGACAATACCCATTACAAGTACTTCGGGTTATTTATATATCCTTATTAATGAAACTATATATTATCCTTTTTTTTAATTACAACGTTAATTCTATATATATGAAACCAACCGGACCGGAGCCAATTTGTTTTATAATAATAGTTTCTGAGACTTGAGATGAAATTACTTACAAGTTATAATCCCATCTCTCAAATATTGTATTTGTGTATGCACGTCCTCCACACAAAAAAAAAAGGTTTAAGAATAATATACGTAGCTTATGGCACGGGTGATCGTACACAATACATTTAAGGAAAAAAAACTAATTTAATAGACACAAGTCGGAATTGATGGCAGAGTCGAGGTACCTGCCGGATGATTCTTCCGAAATTCTTAAAAATATCAAAACCGGACGTAACCATTATTTATATATATATATACACACACACATGATGCATACATACATATAGGGAGAGAGAGAGAGATGAACATGGAGGGGAAAGGCGTCTAGAAACATTCTCTGTCTTGGATTTGTAATCCAGGAGGACGATAACGTGGAACCACTTCTCTCTCTCTCTCTTTGTTCTGAGTTTCATATATCATCACAATTATTATTTAAAACTTGGTTCTTACGTGTTGTTTACGACTTAAAATCTAAAGTGGGCCTCATAATTATCATTATTATATATATATAAAAAAGGAAGGCTAATGTTGTTAGCGTATACGACTTCCTCAGACAAAAATTGTATTGCCTCCCGTTATAAGATTCGATCACAACATTTGTTCAAACAAAAGGTGGATATATATATGCAATGCAACAGAGTATCGATCTCATTGTCGTCCACTGAGTTCGATATACAAAAATATATATCATACTATATGATTTTTAAGTGATCAAACCATGTTTGCGGAGACTTAAACCCATCGACTGTAACCAAACAAGATCAGAGTTCTCTACTTCTTACCAAAGAGAATATGGTTGCCCCACTTCAAAAGATCTGATCGTGTTCCAAATCATGATCAGTTTTATAACAGAGACTCGTGTTTAAGATTCTCATGGAAGACAGATATATATACCAAAAAATACCTGGGCGAACATCGGATGGCTTGGAAAGGGAAGATGAGACGGAAGAGCACCGAGATATTGGCACGGCTCAATCAGATCAAAGATATGACTACAAACATACATATAATATATATCACAAAGAGAAGTAAAGATCTGAGTGAACCAGACCAATATCAGAGAGATTCTTTCGTACCGGATAGATATGGACAGCTCCATGAATGTTTATCATATATCTGTGTGTTTCGTTTATATGGGAAATTAACAAGCAGAAGAAGCGGAATGTCTGTGCTCTGTGGGTTAAAACAAGTGTATGTATGTATGTATGTATCATGTATATATGTATGTATGTGTGTGTGTATATGTGTCATTAAAAACTCTAAACGCATCGAACCCAAAACCCAACCATCCCTTTTCGCAACTGCCAAAAGAAAGACGACCAATAAATGAGGGAGGTGGGGAGTTTTGACTTTCCTTTTGTAACGGTCCAATTCAACCACTCGTTCGCTCCGCCCCAACTCTCCTTCTTGTTTTTATTCGAAAGCATAAACACAAAACGCAGCATCTTCCCTACAAGATTAAGATTGTTTTTTTTTTTAAAAAGAAAGAATTATGTAAGAGTTTGATGGCACCACATTTGTCTGATAGATTGTATTATTTCTTTGAATGGATTGGAGATTAGTGCGAGAGAATTATCATTTACTACACAAATTATAGAATAAAGGTTCGACTGGTTGTACCGCAACGGTTGCGGTTGCGGGTGGCAGCGTTTTCAAAACGTTTGATAGCGATTATAAATGATTAGTACTGACTGGTTGAGAAGTTGTTATTAGTAGCGATTGCGGGTGGGTGCAGTTAGAAGTGAATGGTTCATTACGGTTGCGGTTGCGTTTTGATATAAATTGTCAAAAAAAATATTACTTTTATAATAGTTTTAATTAAATTTTTCGTATCATTTTATTTACTAAATTTATAATAATTAAATAATACATTTAAAATAAAAATATTATCAATTTAATTTATTTTCAAGTAAAAAAATAATTTTATTATAAAAATTATTAAAAATAATCATTATTAAACCTAAAAATTATACTATTGTATTTTTTTATTAAAATATAATACTGAAAAATAATATCAAATCATAACACTAAACAAAATCATCACCAATATATATATTAATGTTTTATATAATTTCTAATAAAAATATTTTAGTTTTTTTGTCAAAACGCCGGAAACCGCTACGCCGTCCCACCCATTTTAATTTTTAATAATTGTAAAAAATAAATTAAACCTACGAAAAGACAGGAAAAAAAAAATATTTTCCCTTCTGAGGTTCAATTCGTCCTCTTAGAAGAAAAAAATGGCAGATTCAGAAGAAACCCCTGATTAAATTGCTCTCAAATGAATCCCCTTCCCTCTTCTTTGATGCAAGGTGGTCCATTTCAGACAAGGCATACATATACGTAGCCTCTCTCTCTCTCTCTCTCTCTCTCTCTCCTTGGTTTTCTCGTATTCAATTGTCTACGACCCTTCCACCATCATTCGCGTCGAAGCCTTTTTTTTTTCCCGTTGCCTATTTTTTTTTTTTTTGCTATACAATATTCAGAAGAAGGCATGGAATCTTATGGGTATTCCTCTAGGTTTTGTCCCCTCTCTCTCTCTTCTACCGGGAATTTTGTCGAACGGATTAGAGACGCCTGCAATTTCGCCGTTTCAGCTGTCCTTGGCAACATCTTCTCCGCCATCTTAACCTTCTTCTTCGCTTTCGGTTCGTACCTTTTTTTTTTCCTTCTCGCGGTGAATTTCGTGTTGGATCCGGTTCTCATGTTTGATGTCGTAGGCATTTGGCTTCCCTGTTCCGCTTTGTCTGGTCTGAAATCTGTAGAGGTTATATGTCATGTTCTACCAGTTGTCATGCATGAATAGCTATTGTCTTCCATAAGGGCTTCTATATCATGTCCCGTTTAAGACAGTTATTGCCCGAGTTTTGACTGATCCTTTGGAAGAGCCTATCCCTTCGATAGCAAAAGCTTTCTTGATCCCCGAGAAAATGAACAAATCGGAGCAAGTTGAGTAATTTTTGTGGGGATAAATAGCAGAATTGCGTTTGAAGAATCTATAGCAAAGGCAGTCCAGCATTCTGTGTAGTTTTGCCAGAGCACATGAAGGAAACTAAGAGATGATAGATTTTCTTCTCGCCATAGCTGTAGCATTAGTCTGATCGATGCAGAGAAAGGAAGGCATTCTAGCTATCTGTTTGATTGCAAAACTTTCTTCTTCTTCTTCTTGAAATGAAAAAGAAGAAGAGAAAAAGGTGGAAACTTTTGATGGTTTAGCTACTGTTTGGCGCAGTGGGCACTTTGCTGGGAGCATTGACAGGAGCTTTGATAGGCCAAGAAACGGAGAGCGGGTTCATAAGAGGTGCTGCGGTTGGGGCTGTTTCCGGGGCTGTTTTCTCCATCGAAGTCTTTGAATCTTCTCTCATCCTCTGGCAATCAGACCAGTCTGGAATTGGATGTCTCCTCTACTTGGTAATCTTTTACTAATCAGTTTTTTGTGTGTCTAGTTGCATAAAAACTGATGGATGTTAAACTTGATAGATCGACGTCATTGCTAGCCTTTTGAGTGGGAGACTTGTCCGAGAACGTATGGGTCCAGCAATGCTAAGTGCCGTGCAGAGCCAGGTACATTGCCTGCTCCGCTAATTGTCCATACAATCTCTCAGTTTCTTATTAGGAGATATATGATTTGCTCATTTTTACCATTGTCGGCCTTTGTGGATACAGATGGGAGCTGTGGAGTTGTCACAGTTCCAGGAACAAACAGACATATTTGACACGGGCAGCTCAAAGGGATTAACTGGTGATTCTCTGGAAAAGATCCCGAAGATCAGCATCACAGGCAACAACAACGTAGACAACTCATCTTGTTCTGTCTGCCTCCAGGTTTGTTTGAATTGTTATTCTGCTTAAGATAAAGATAGGATAGATAGAATTGGTGAATATATCGAAAGTTTTACGGATTAGAGATGGTTGACATCTGAATCAGGACTTTCAAGTGGGAGAGACGGTTAGGAGTTTGCCTCAGTGTCAACATATGTTCCACCTACATTGCATAGATAAGTGGCTTCTGAAGCATGCTTCTTGCCCTCTTTGCAGAAGGGATCTCTGATCTTGTTCTTGTAAGAATAAGTTAAATCGTGTTGTTTGATTTCATTACAACATATAATACAGATACAGGTCCTTACACTTTAGACAATAGACAGCATGTCCGGTCGAACGCTTGTTTAGGCTTACTTGTTGACTTTGATAACTTCACACATATTTATACATATATTACATATGGTTTTTGTGTATCATTTTTGTACTTTGTAAATAAAAAACACTCGATTCCTATATGTTGTCCAAATTAATTTAATTATATACATATCTTTGACATTGATCTATTCGTGTCTTCTTTATACAAAAACAACATAACGACCAACACGTTCTTTTAGCTGTCATGGCTCCTTATCGGTTGACTTTAGCAAATCCGTTTATTATCATTTAATTATTTTATGGTGAAGTGTTTTTTCTTCTTTTGGTTGAAGTCACCACGATATTTTTAAATTTTAATAATTGAGATTTAGTTTCTAAAGCTGCCGCCGAAGAATGAGGAGTTGACTTTACCCTTATCAAGGGAACAGGAAGAAGACGAATACCAAAGAGGAAGACGAAATCTAATGCCTAGTCGTGGCATTTTAAAAAGAACAAAAGTCGACAGAAAAAATCAAACTCAGCTGAGTTACTGGTTTTTCCTGTCTGAAACAATGAGAAAGGGTCAAGAAGTTGATTCTTGGTGGGGTGACGCTCCTCATATATTCAGATATCTCCAGGGAAGAAGGAGCATTATCCAATTGTCAGAAAAAATAATCAAAAGGGAGGGATGGAGGGAGGAGGAATGGGTAATGCAGGCCAACTCTTTGTGTTAATGTCTGTGATGATGGCTTGGTGGGGATGTGAGGCGTATGGCAAATTCGGGTTCGATGTTCATCATGTCTTGTCGGAACCAATCCAACAAATGCTGGGTTTTGATGGTCTTTTGCCCGAGAAAGGGAGTTTGGACTACTTTAAGATTTTGGCTGACCGTGATCGTATCATCAGGGGCCTCGGTCTTATTGCCTCCAACTCCAGCAACGTTCAGACCCCTCTCACTTTCGTTCATGGCAACCGAACTCTTCAATCGATGCCCTTTCATTGTACGGCTCTCTTCCAAGTCTTGGGTTTTGATCAGTTACCTCAGTTTGATAGATTTTGTTTGATGAAAATGTTATTTTACAGCTTGTACTATGCGAATGTTTCCGTGGGAACACCGGCTACTTGGTTTCTGGTTGCCCTTGACACTGGTAGCGATTTGTTTTGGTTGCCTTGTAATTGTGGGGCGACTTGTTTAAATGACTTGGAAAGATGCTGGAGCCATTCAGGTGCGTTTCCTCTTCATTAGTTTCAAGCTTACGAAAAATGTGTAAATTTCTTTCTGCTAAAAATGATACATTGCATCTGCTTTCGAGCAATTTTTTTCTTTTCGGAATATGCAAATGCCAAAAGGGCTATTGAGTACAAGTCTTTCTTTCTTTCTTTTTTTTTTTTTGTAGCGGAGTCAGCGACTTAACCTGTACAGCCCTAACACTTCTTCTACAAGCTCAAGAATCAAATGCAGTGATACACGGTGTTTCCAGGAGGAGCTCTGCCCTTCTGCTGGCAGCATTTGTCCATATCAAATTCGATATCTTTCTGCCAACACCTCATCCAGGGGAACACTGTTCCAGGATGTGTTGCATCTGGTCACAGAAGACGGGAATTTAAAGCTTGTGAAAGCTAATATCACGCTTGGGTAAGAACTGAGTTTATCTTCCATTCCTTTTCATGTGGTCCACTTCTTTTTATCCTTGTCCAAATGACCTATGAAGAACTCGACCCACGATTTGACTTGTTTTCTTTTTGTGGGTGCAGTTGTGGACAGGTACAGACTGGTGCATTCCGCAGAGGAACAGCTGTTAATGGTTTGTTGGGGCTTGGTCTACAAGATTACTCTGTTCCCAGCATGCTGGCAAAAGCAGCCATTACCTCAAATTCTTTTTCAATGTGTTTCGGGAACATTGTCAGCATTCTTGGAAGAATCAGCTTCGGAGACAAAGGTCAGTCGGATCAGCAAGAAACACCATTTATTCCCGTTAAACCAACGTAAGTGGTTGATGCAAGTCCTAGCTGTCTATCTATCTGATCAGTTCTAGTAACAGATCAAATAATTGATCCGATTAAAGTCTTTCACACTTCATCTCATGTTGTCCTTTTTTGGAAACGAATACTACTAGTCCGAAGTATGTGGTGAATGTAACTGGAATTGAAGTGGGGGGAAATGCAATCGGTGTCCGGCTGTTTGCACTTGTTGACTCCGGTGCTTCATTTACTCACTTGATGCAGCCTGCATATGGTGCTGTTACCAAAGCTGTAAGTGTATTTTCTTCTTTTTGGTAAACTCGTTTTTCTCTGAAACATAAAGGGAAACTAGAATCCTGAGTATTATTTGTCTGAAGATTGAGTAGCAACCAGTTTTGTAATAGGCTTGATTCTGTTTTCAGTTCAATACACTTGTCACTGACAAACAACTCCCAGTTGATCCCGACTTTCCCTTTGAGTTCTGCTACCTCATCAGGTACTCCAATGCATCAGATATAGTTTACCCATTTATGCATATAATAATGGATTGGGCTTTGTATGGAAATCATATTTCTTGTCTCACACACATATATATAGAGGGATGTCAAAAATCATTTACTCACATAATGAGCTCTTCTTATGTAAACTCCTTTGTCGTGTGCAGTCCAAACACCGCTAGCATTGTTTATCCAGCCATAGACATAACGATGTTAGGGGGATCCACGTTGAGACTTCGAAATCCTCTTCTCATAGCAGAGTCTAAGGCAAGGCTGTAGATTTGATTTCGTGTATTTCTCCTTATTACATAGCAAAGAAGAGACATATTCGTCTCCTTATAATCCTTCTTACGAATGACAGAACGGAAGTGCCATATACTGCTTGGGTATTCTGAACAGCGTAGACGTCAAGGTTAACATCATCGGACGTAAGTATTTGATTTTTCAAATGCATGTTACCAAAGAGGAAAAAAGTCCAGCAAAGATTGAAACGATCATGAAAGAACCTTGACATATGATGGAACAATCCTGTCCTGTGTTGGGATTATGACATAAATTTGTAATCAGAACCTGCGTTTTGTAGTTTCTACTCAGTGACGTTCTTCTGGCCATTAGTCACTGACTGCAGGACCTCTTGACTTTTATGCAGTGTTCTTCAGAGTTGTCCTTTTCTTTTTCCCATAGTTAAAAAAAAAAATTCCAATTCTTGATGTGATAATGAAAAACAACCCTGATTCCAAACTGGATGCATATGTATTGTTTATGGATCTATAGTTGAGAATGATGTTATGTGACAAGTGTTTTCTTGCTTCTGTAATGTTGGGGGTTTGTAATACAGAAAACTTCATGTCTGGATACCGTGTTGTCTTGTCTTTGACCGCGAAAGGATGGTGCTGGGCTGGAAAGAGTCTGACTGTGAGTATTTTTACTACTGTATCTCCTTCGATCCTTCTTCTGTCTGCACTGCAGCATTTTTAGATAATACAAAAACTGTGAGGAGGGGATAAAGTGTATACTCTGTTATAAGGCTGGATTTCTTCCTCTATTCGCTTCATTGACACATTCATGGATTTTCAACGGCAGGTTTTGGCGAGGAACGCACAAAGGCCATGGCTCCGCCACCATCAGAGACAGCGGCTCCTCCACCGAGAGTATCGACCCAACCTCCTCCTCCTCCGCCTTCTCCTTCGAGCAATAACTCGAATGCTTCCAGCTCCCTTCCTCGCTCTGGCTCTGCAGATCGACAGAGTCTCCTCCTCCTCCTCCTCCTCCTCCTCCTCCTCCTCCTTCCTGTTCTTGCCTTCCTCTAATCATAAGAACCTTCCTTCTCTCCATTTGCGTTTGCTACCTATAAATTATGTGAAGGTCTTGCTACCTTGTGCACTTTTTTTCTTTAAAGAACTAAGGTTACGTGTTTGAGAAGTTATCTTTTTTTTATATACCTACGGCTGTGATTGGGCTTCTTCGGACTGCGGCCCACTTAAATAGTTATGCCTGAATTAAAAACGACATCGTTTTATCCCTGGTTCGAAAAATGACCATCTTCAAGAAATTACCAGTAAAAAAGTCAACGGCTGTGATTTGGACAAGAATAAGATTTTACCGAGGAGCAACAAACACCTCGCCTCATGGAATCACCTCACAGTCAAACTCCATATCGTAGTTTGTAAAAAAAAAGATAAGAGAGTGGCCCTTTCTCGAATCAACCATTGTCATCAGCAGCAGCTCCGCCGCATTTCAATGGCATCTATTCAGTACCTCGCCACTGTCTCCACCACCGTTGTCAAGCCTACGACGCTGCCCTTGTCTTCTCCTTCGTCTGCTCTCCGCTCCCCCTCTTCTCTTCGATCTAAACCTCGTGAGCTTTTTCCCCTCTTTGCCAACTTTCGCAGCGTCTCGCATCAAGGTACCTCTTCTCGTATTTGGTAATGGGAAGTGCCGAGAGATTGATTTAATCAGACCTTTTTTTCTTTACAGACAGACACTAATTCGTGAAAATTTCTGGGGATTGGGTATAATTAAAATCTCCGAAAAAAGGCAATCTCTTGGTTGATATTAGCATGTGATGGTTTTATGTTTATCGGGAGATTAGTCGACACAAAAGAGTTTGGAGTTTAGGACTGTGGAAGTGCTAGAGTACAATTTTAGAGTTCCTTAAAGCTTGAGGGAAATGAAATTCACCCGGAGACAAAATCCTTTGAAAAATTGACAAAGCTTCTCTCTGGCTTTGGTTTGGTATTAGAATGTGATGCTTTCATGTCTGGGGAGACAAGTCTTCTTCTTCAAGAGTTTGCGACCGCAAGAACTAGATGACAATATTAGTGTTTCCTTACGGATTGAGACTTCAGATGTGATCTTTAGTTATGGCTTTGGGTTGATTATATAGGCGCGGAAGCCTAATCACGATTTAGATTTATTATGTTTCAAGCTTTAGTCTTGTTCTTGTAAGTTGTAGAGGACAATATTCGAGATTTGCTTTTGTTTCTTCTCCTCGTCCTGGCAACTTATAACATTCTGCATAATCTGTCTCTGTCTCAACATGTTGCCACCACCAGCAAAGTCACAGTCAAAAGAAGCCGAAGTGAGTCCAGTTGCAGATACATTTTCTAATTTCAAGCATCTTCTTCTGCCTGTAACGGATAGGAATCCTTATCTTTCTGAAGGGACGAGACAGGTTACCTCTCTTGAGCCCCTTAGCCTCGTATTTTTTACCAACGGGTTCACAGTGGTTTCCATTTCCATAATCTCAACCATACTGTTTCCGGCAAAGCGTTTGCAGAAATAGTTATATCCTTCATTGGTGTCTATAGATTTATTGTTTTATATTCATTTGAGTTTGACCACACTTTGGTAGGCTGCTGCTACAACAACTTCTTTGGCAAAGAAGTATGGAGCTGATATCACGGTTGTGCGTAAGTACTGAGATCCTAGCGTCCAAATCTATTCCAAAAGAATACATTTTAACATCATCTTGTTCACAGTTATCGATGAGCAAAAGAGAGATTCACTGCCTGAGCATGAGACACAAGTATCCAGCATCCGCTGGCATCTGTCTGAAGGTAGGTACAGTTTGTTGTTCTATGAATGTGTTACATGCGGCGTTTCGTCCCAATTAATCCGCAAGATTCGTGGTAAACTCCTCTCTGTGTAAATTTAGAACCTTTGGTGGTCTATTACTCATAGGGAATTGTTTGTTCAATGGAAATGAAATTCCACACATGATGTCGAGGCTTAAGATAATGATTAGAACCATGTTGTAGGAGTGGTCACCACAGTGGTTGGCTGCATTTCTTAGCATTCGCGGAAAATTTACACGAACCCGACTCCCAGATTCTGGGATCTAGCAGACAAACAAGGCTGAGTTCAACTGCTAATGCTGGGGATTGGACGGTTAGAAGTCAGTTCTGGAGAACCGGGACTAGTAAATAAATGATCATGAGGGGTTGTAGTAGTTATATTTTGGGGATAGTCCAACATGGGTTAGTGTATCTAGGCTCAATGCTGTTAACATTTGCATGACACATATTCATACAAAAATGAACAGGTGGGTTCCAGGAGTTCAGGCTGTTGGAGCGGCTCGGGGAAGGGAAGAAGCCGACGGCCATAATCGGGGAAGTGGCGGATGATCTGAGCTTGGACCTAGTGGTGATGAGCATGGAATCCATCCACTCTAAGCTCGTTGACGCCAATTTACTCGCTGAGTTCATCCCATGCCCCGTCCTGCTCTTACCCTTGTGAAAAACTCCCAATCTCCTTTTCTTCAATCCTCTCTGTACAAAACTAGTTCTGGTTTCCATGAATAAAGTAAAGTATACACATGTATATGTGTCAAGGTGCTGTAAATAGTAATTGTCAGTTGTCTTGTGTGTTTATATACGATTTTCCCTCATGGGTTCGCATCGGACCAAAGGTATCTGTGGGTACATTCGTCATTTTCTTTAACCTATGTTATGACACATGGGGATTATAACATGTAAGAGGACACGACATGACACGATCAATGTGTTTGGCTTTCGAGTGAGTGACGATATCTGAAGTTCAAAACAACGGAGAAACTAATCAGAGAGGGTAAAATTGGTGTTTCGAATGAGCGAAGGGTGCATCCAATAAGGTGAAAGCACAGGGATCGTCGCAGGAGGGTATTTCTGTCAATTCTAACCAATGTGACCTGAGCTGCTTAGGAAGTTCCCCACTTCCCAATGGCATAACTCGGCATTTTTCCAGTCCCCAGAACTCAGTGCCGCCGGCGCTCTCCGCCCTTCCGACTTCAACCTCGTTTCATTCTCAGATTCTCTGTACACTTTCGTTCTCCGGTGATCTCGATGGCTGCGACGGCGAGTAGTGCCTCAAATTCGAGCTCTCACACGCCGCGTTACTCCATCAATAGCCCAATGTCGCGATCACGGCGCGCTCCGTCTCCTTGGACGCAGATCGACAGGGGATGTGATTCGGACGTGATCCAAAATGATCCTGCTCCTTCTATCTTGCCCTCCCTCGCCGATGAGGATCCCTCTCTCCCGCCTGTGAGTCCATCGGTTTCACCGCCGATCGACAAATACACTCAGCATACCGACATTTCCGGTAAGAAGCCGGCCTGGAACAAGCCTTCAAATTCCTCCGCCGATGTTGGCCCCGTCATGGGGGCCGAATCATGGCCCGCGCTCTCTGTTTCTGCTAGGGTTTCCTCAGTCAAGTCCGTCTCTTCAGAATCCTTGAAAGGACTTTCTGATGGATCATCATCAATGCCACCCCTGCAGGTATTTCCGCCTATCCGTCTCTCCCTCTTTTCTTTTCATTTTCCACTTTTTTTTGGGTGTTGGGTGATCGATCTTCTCGGTGTCAGAGGAATTAGGTATTGACTGTGTAACCAATATCGTCCAAAACAAACCGTGGCCATGAGACAATAGCTTCAGTTTAGATTTCAATAGTTGAATTTTGCCCTTTAATTTACGATTTCTATCTGGGATCTCGCATGCAGTTAGCAAATACATCGTTTTGCATGTTCTCTTGGGTGATGCGAATCTCGGAAGAGGATAGCGTTCTATACTCATTAGTTCTTATACTCATTAGTTCTTCTTGTCTATCCTGTAGGCTGTTGAAATTCCTTCCACTTCTACCCAGAAACAATCTGTTGGCAATACCATTGCCGATAACCATAATGCGTTAGGCCAAGAGAAACCCTTTAAACGGAATAACTCAAGTCGCAGCATCATCTCAGCGCCTTTAAATACTATCCGTTCTAAGGATCAGACCCACAGCCAGAGGAGTGGTTCTTATGGCGGAGGAAATCCACAGCACAAAAACTCGTACAGAAACCGCAATGGAGTTTCTTACCCTCGTGGAGACAGTGTTCACCAGCAGAACCATGGAAACAGGCGAAACTATGACCATGTTAACCAGACTGCGTTTCCTCGCCATAACTATAATGGGAGAGATGTGCACATGCAGCAACCACAGCGTGGTTTAGGGCTTGTGAGACCTCAGGTGATGATGGGGCCTCCCTCTTTTCCTGCTGGTGGTTCACACTATATGGCAGGCCCCCATTTGTACAGTGGTCCCATGCTTTACCCAGGTAGATATCAGTCTTATGATCTCATATTCTTGCTTTTCCATTTGATTTCAATTTCACAAGCTTCCTTTTTTCAGAATATCCCTCAGCAATCTATATGCCACATCCACCTCCAGAGTCCATGGCTTTGGTTGGACAGTTTTCACCTCAGCCTATCTATTTTCCTGGTTATGATCCCATGTTGTTCACTAAAATAGTTAAACAAGTAGATTTTTATTTCAGGTAATTTCTTTCTGTACGTTGCCGTATCTCCTGTTCTCTGTGTCTCCTCAATGCTACTCCCTAAATGATCTTTCTCAGAAATGTAAATAACTAACTTCATACTTATGCAAATCACAATTGCAGTGCCGATAATTTAAGCAAAGATAAGTACTTGCGACAGCACATGGACGAGGAGGGTTGGGTTCCTGTTAGCTTAATTGCCGGTTTCAGAAAAGTATGTGATTCTTTGTCTGATTTGGAACTTTTTCTTGTTGTTTGATGAACTTCTTTATGTTTAAGTTGTCATCCCTTTTGAAGTTCATGAATCTTGCCGTGATACCTTTTAAGGGGAAAAAAGGTACTGTGATACAATTTTCCTTGGAGATTTATTCGTGGAAGATTTTATGTAGCGGGCAGTGAGTTGGATTTCTTTGGTTTTTTTTAAACCTCTGACTAAGGATCTTATTCACTGTCCAGGCAAATATCACATAATAATTGTTATACTAATGAGAGTGTCTTTGTGATATTCAGGGTTTACTCTTTACCTTCTGTATTCTGTTCTAGTATAATCTCTTAATGCGTGTGATTTAATAGTTCCGAGTATTGAAAGATTTTGCCATCTTGGCAGTGGCTGTATGTAGCTAACAGTTCAGTGTGGGTTTTTTTATTTATCTACTTTTTTTTTTCTGTTCTTCAGCTAGCGGAACTGACCAACAATGTCCAGATTATATTGGATGCTGTGATAAGTTCTGCTGTTGTGGAAGTTCAGGTGTGCATCCCATTTTGCATATAAGCTTTATATTTGTCAAATCATCAGACGAAAATGCCTCAATGTTTATTAAATATGCATCAATGTTGATAATAGTTAGGGACATACCATGACATTGCAGGGTGAGTCTATAAGGAGGAGAGGGGATTGGAACAAGTATGTATGGCCTCGGGACCTCAGGGAAACCACGACTGCCTCAGCGGCACGTCCAGATGCCACACTGGCGGGACATCTTCAGGAAATGAAGCTGGCAGAAGGAAGAAACCTGCAGGCAGAGGGAGAACGAAGAGATGATTCGGTCGAAGAAGAAGAGAGCAACAAAGAGTTATCTGCCTCTCTCACTGCAGCTGGGACATGATGTCCCCTGTGATGCTGTTGATGTTCATCTCGTTCCTGTTTTTGTGGGTGAGGAGGAAAGAGGCGTTTCTATCTGTTTTCCCTGTCCTTGCAGTGAGTTTCATTGCCCTGCTTCAAACAATTACACACTCTCTCTCTCTGTCTCTCCCCTTTTTTGTTACCTTTGGAGAATGGGATAGGAGAATAATGCTCAACATTTTGTTCTTCTAAAAATAAGGAACGGAACTTTTCAGACCTCCTTTTCTTTTGGAGGGTTTGAGATGCAAGCCAAAAAAAAAAAGAAGGTTTTGGTTGCTATACCATAAGATGAGGATCTTTTGGAGGGTTTGGTATGGCGGCTAGGCTTGTCTTGAGTTAGAAAAACTTGCTTGGGGAAGGCGATGGATGGAGGAAGAATATTAACGACGTTGTGACCCATTCCTGGTGTTTTGGAAGCTCTCTCTCATGTTAAACCACTTTGTCTGCGTCTGCTCCCGAGCACATGGGGAGTTCCAGAAGTTTTTCTTTTAAAATGTGCGGGTTTTATACACAAAAAAGGTCTACCACTTGCAGAAGGAAAGATGTCCATTAACAATAAACAAAAACGAATGTAATCATAACAAAGCGAGAAACAGAAGAACAAAAGGGTAGGACGACCGTGTGATGGGTTTGAACACATTAGATAACAACCCCCCCAAAAAAAAAAGTCATGTCAGAAGAAAAACCAGGTATCAACCATGTCTAGTTTCCTGAGAAACAAGACTCTATAGAATGGCACGGATTCTGATATACATACATCCATATATATATATATATATATATATGTATATATAGATGAAAAGAAGGTAGGAATTGCATAATTGGGCATTTCTTCCATCATAGAATGGAGCAGGCCTTCTGAGCTTTGCTCTTCTTCTTCTTCTGCTTTGGGGGTTGGAGGACAACTCGGATGGCTGCGTCAAACACCCCCTTCACATTCTGCGTCCACCCACAAACAAGTTCACTCAGATCCAAAGGGACCGTATATTGCCATAATCACGAAAGCGTATTGTTTACGAGTATCACCTCTTGAGTTTTTGAACTGCATTCTATATATGTGGGCGCTCCTATTTGCTTCCTCAGCTCCTCTCCCTTTCATTCACCAAAAAACTTAGCTTTACCTAACAACAACAACAACAACAAGATAGGCCCGGGCATTTTATATACCTGAGCTGCAGAAATAGGGACAGCACCGGGATGGTCAACGAAGAACTGCTTATCATCTCGTAGATCTGTCAAAATAATCAAACAAGCACCGATACTAAATGTAACCAAATTCACCAGATAAGGCTAAGCTGCCTGGTTTATAATACGGAAGTCGGACCGTCTTGGAGAAAATTGCCAAACAATAACAAACCTAGCTTTGTTCCGACAAGAATGATGGGCACTCCTGGTGCATAATGTTTCAACTCCGGGATCCACTGGAAAGATAATTTGTTCAATCATCAGAGAGGGAGAAGATGGTGATGGAGAGAGAGAGAGAGAGAGAGAGAGAGAGAGAGAAGATGGATCACCTTCTTAGATACGTTTTCATAACTGGCTTTGCTAATGAGAGAGAATGCCAATATGAAAACATCAGCCCCACGGTAACTCAGTGGTCTTAATCTGTTGTAATCTTCTTGCCCTGTTTCCACCATTAACACACGCGCCCCGAGGATCTACTTTTCCGAAAATTCCAGAAAACGAAAAACTTGTTCCAAAAAACCCAAAAGACATATATTACCTGCAGTGTCCCATAATCCCAGATTAACTGTGGCTCCATTTACCACAACATTCGCGCTGAAATTATCAAAAACCGTTGGCACGTAATCCTGTAAAAAGACACAACAAGCAAATCAAGTACAGATGTTCTGCAATTTTAAAGACCATTATCTTTCAGTGAAAATATGAAGAGGATAAAACATATCTCCAAATTCACATCTTCTACTTGGATGTAAGCAATTGCTGAACATGAATTTGCAGCAAATTTCATTAACAAAGATTCTTTGTTTACATCCGAGAAAATGCGAACGGTGAAGGGAAATTTTATGCAGAGATTTAACAGAAGAGAAAACAAAAGTTGAGGAAAGGAAGGATATACCGTAGGGCGAAAATCATAATCTAATTTTTACAAGACTAATATAGTTAATTATGATTATTAAGAACGTGTATTATGTTTATTTATCCATTTTACATTAATTACGGCACCTAGCCGTTACAATTAGAAGAGTGAATGGGCTTCTTATTATTAAATAAAATACGAGGACATTTGGGAACTAACAGATTTAAAAAAAGGCGTATAATTTGGGATTTTATCATGTTGGAAACTAGACATGAAGTTCATATTGGGCCTCTCGACTTCTCCCACACGCCGTCGTTTCATCCATGCGAAATTGCACTGCAAGTGTAATTCGTTCATAATTGAAAGTTTATCGGTCCCTTTTAAGATAGCAAAATAAGGAAGACCCGGAAAAGGCTCTAAAAGCAAAGGAGGAAAGCCCCACGGCTGCCACCCATCATTCACTTTGCTTTGACGGTCAAGCCGGCCGTGACCTTTGCTCTCGGACAAATGTTTCTCCATTTCTTGATTCGACATAATCAAATGTGCCACGATGACGCCAATGTCTTACCAAATCAAATTCAACATGGAACATATTCAAACGGTTCAACATTCCTGATCATATCAGAAACCCAACATTAAAACACTTACCAAACGAGAAATGACTCTGCTACCTGTGACTGCAAACCCAGGCAGTGACCATGATGTCGTTCATGTTTCCTTGGGAGTACCGTAGGGAAAGTGTTGCTGGTGTACGAAATCAGAAGGCAGGTTTTCCCGACAGCTCCATCGCCGACCGTGACGCATTTGATGAACCTCGAAGCGCTCATTTTCCCCAGAAAAATCAGGGAAAAAACACAAACCGTAAATCAATCCAAAAAAGCTCGAGGATTCTGTCAAGCCACAAATCTCAACGCCTGAGGACCCCTTCTTGTTGACCCAAATCTCGAAACTCCTCCGGATTTTCTTCCTTCTCTTTATGTTTTATCCGGTTTTCGCTTCTTCGAGCTCAATCGGCCATCGGGGTATTACGGGGAAGACGCAGCGGATGACAAAGGAGGGAACTTTCTGTCGGGAAATCGAAACCCTAGAACCGAATTTGAGAGAGAATTAGAGGGGACAGAACGAAAATGGGGAGAGAGTATAGTTTTGAGAGGCCGGGAAACAATGCCGTTGAAGCGTTCACTGAGTCAAATCATTCCTCGCCAACCAATCTCCCCTTCCTCCGCTTCTTTTGGATTTGCCCTTTTAATAGGTGATTGATATATAACATACCAAAAACCAACGGTGCTCCCATGCCAAGTGCTTGAATTTATGTATGTATGTATATATATATATATATGTGTGTATTCTTGCTGCATAGGTGATTTTAACGGATATGAATTTTTTTTTTAAAATAAACTTTGATATTGTAAATAGTAAGATTCTTTATGGAATTTTAAAAAAGAACAAAATCAGATTAGTTTTTTTATTTCTTTTCTAATTTCTCACCGAGTAATTTTAATTTAGTATGGTCCACGCACCAATTTAGAAGCTCGCTTTGCCTTAAAGGAATGGCGCTTAACGAACAAATGTCCTAACGTAAGATTTGGCGTTAGCATTTTTTATGATTGTTGCCATCCTTCGAAGGAATCTACTTAAGAAGATGTGATTTTTTGGACCGGTGCATGCTTACTTACTACTCACTTGTAGAGGAAAACCATAAGAAATCAAAAAAAAAAAAACACATATATATTTTGCACCAAAACAACATCATTAGAGATTAACATTTTGTATTTCAAATCGAGTTTAAGTTATTTAAATTTAAGAAAAACTATAAACATTTGGTTAATTCGGTTTTTCCGATTATTTTTTATTCCGTATGATTTAATTTGAATTCAATTTTTTTAATTTTTAAAAAAATTATAAACATTGGGTTTCCTCTATTAATTTTGATTCGATTACGATCATATGTTATTCAATTTGGATCAGTTTAATTATTCGATCGTTAACCAAATTAGGAACATAAACAACAGAGAAGATAACTAAGGTCAGTTCAAAACCAAAGCAAGGATGCCATAATTAGTTAGAACCCGACATTGAGTCATGCTGACATGACACGTGCGTACATTTTAAGCATGCAACCTCTTCACGTCTTCTTCTTCATCATCACCACCAAAGCTCCTCGTGCGGCGGCTGTAAACAGTCTCGAATGATTGCATACAAACACTTGAAAACCCGACCATCGCCTGAAAGACGTGAGGAAACCCCATCTGCAAGTTATTCACTGTCATGGCCCGACTCACCTTCACCGCCTTCTCGTGCTTATTCTTCTCTTCTTCTGCCTTTCCTCTCAACCTCTCCACCTTTCCTCTCTTTTCCCCCACCACCGTTTTCTTCCTACCTCCACTCTCATGGTCGTACTTGCTCTCGATTGCCCTCAGTTCAGCCGCCTTTTTCTCAAACTCTTTCAACACCGATTCTGATCTCTTCTTCTGCTTGTGTTCTTCGGCTTGTTGGACCAAGATCCCGTGGACTGTCATCAGAAAGCTCTTAATCCCTTCGGATGCTACTTTATCCGGGATTCGGTCCATAGCCAGCTGCCATTCTTCGCAAAAGCTGTAAAGCTTTGACTCGTAGCTGCTGCTTCCCATGGCCACAAGTGAGCTCTTGCTGAACTGAAATAGGCTTAGCCTGAGCCAGCCCGTCAGAGATTGGACATAGTCACGCTGACACTTGACCAAGTTGCAGAAGGACTGGTGCCATTGTTGGATTTCGGCCTCGAGGTGAAGGGTCGATTGCCGATGAAGCTCTGACGTGGGTTCGGTGGAGGGGACGGTGTTAAGGTACTTTAGCTGTTGAACTATATGGGTCTGAACCTGGTGGCTCTCGTACATGCTCCTCCACATGCTCATTAACCTACATATATACAACTATAACTTTGTAATTTCGTGACAGACGAAAACTAGAATGCAGATAGATCGTAGTTTGCCATAAAAGTTCTACTTCATTGACTGGTTACAGGTTAGAGAATTCACATCAGTGTATAAAACAAGGTGAGTCCTACTGATGTTCATCATTATTTTCTCAACATGTTGGGGACGAGCAATAAAGGCAGATACTAACCCTTTAACGAGCTCGACGAGCTGAGGGAACAACTGGGATTCTCGGAGATTGATGATCTCGGCAGAGGCGCTCTCGATGGCCTGAGAAGAAACGGCGAGACGGGACTCTAACCTCTCCACATCTTTCTTTGCCTTCTCTGTCTTCACATACTCAGCTCTCTTCATCTCCAGCTTCCTGGCATTCTCCACCTTCTTCTCATGCTCCATCTTAATTCTCTCTCTGTTCTGCAACCAACCAACCGACACTGTTTTCATTGCTGGATATATAACTGTCAGTACACACACACCACATCATTGATCATTCAGACACACGTGGGTTCTCTCTGATAATCTGACAGGGTTGGGCCCACGAGCTGATTTCAGATGATACATGGTAAATTTTGAAACTTTGACAAGATTCAAACTAGACCTACGTAGAGTTTCAAACTGCCCCCGATTCACATTGGAAGTACATCCCTTGTTTCAAAAAGATTCCTCCTGGCATGAAACGAGCAACCCAAGTTATAATTTCGAACTTCAGTATTATGGTATGGCACAGCCCGCTCAGGCTTGGCCCCACAGTCTGATCTGAGGCCGAACATAGAAAATTTTGAACCTTTGACTGAAAAAAGATCCTTCTTCGCATGAAAATATGAAAGATTCAAACATTGAATACCTTGACCTCTTGATACAGCTTCTTCTCCCAAGCATAGAGTCTCTCCACAGTAGAGGAATGGCTCCCTCCACACCCAGCCACCTCTCCCCCTCCGTTTCTGTATTCGTTATACTTTGGACTAAACCCTCTTCTCCAAAACAATGTCGGATTCATGTTGCACTCGTAGTTACTGTACAGTTTCCCTGAAGAAACACGGAATCATGTTAATGTCTGGGACCTTTGTTATATGCATACGGGCGTAATTGCAACGAGAATCAAACCCATTACGGCAATATAACGGTATTTGGCTCTCGGGTAATTGTGAAATACCTCCTTTGTTATGAGCAGAAAATGATGAGGTGGTGTTGATAGAACTTGAAATTTCAAGGAGGCGAGAGAGCTGCGCACCAGAATCTGCAGCTTTCAGGAAATATACGTCCACTTCCTTGATGATCTCCATCAGATCCTTTGTATTTCTCGAGACCACCATAGCCAACTCGCTTCCGGAGGCGGTCCCGTTCGTGATGGTGTCCTTGGAGAACCCACTCACCACCGACGATGGCGGAGGCGTGGCGGTCGCTGGTTCCGTACTGACGGCTGCGTCGGTGGCGGTGGCGGTGGCAGTGGCAGTCTCATCCTCCCACTCCTCCTCGGAGGAAGACGGGGGCGGCGGCACAAAGGGGTCCCAGAAATCCCACGTGGAGGACGGCGGAGGAGGAGGAGGTGGGGGCGGAGGAGGAGGAAGTGCGGAGGAGGTGGTGGTGGAGGTCCAAGTGGTGTCGGAGCCAGGACTCAGGGGAGGCCGACGAGGCGGCGGAGGAGGAGGCGGCGGCGGCTGAGGGTGGAGGTGGAGGTGGAGGTGGAGGTGGAGAGGGGTCTCTTTGGCGGAGAACTCGAGAAGGGCGGAGCCGGTTGCGCGTAGAGATCGGAGATAGAGCGCGTGGGAGGCAGAGAGAGCTTGTCTTGCTCCGACCAGCTGCTTCAGGTACCTCTTCCTCGCCTTGCAATGCGACACTATCTCCTGTCTCTCGATTCTCGAGTAACAACCCCCCATTTTCCTTTCTCTTTTCTTTTAGGTTTTTCTTCCAGATTTTGAGACCAAACCGAAAGTGCCAAAGCACAACACTTTCTTGAAGAAGACAGAAGCTATACAATGTTTCTTCTTCTTCTTCTTCTTCTTCTTCTTGTAGCTTATGCTCTTACACCCTAGACGGCTGAAATCACTTCCTTCTTGTTCTTCTCGCAAGAAAATCTTCAAAGTCGCTCAGTTTGTCTGTAAAAAAAGAAAAAAAAATGAAAAGCTGCCAACTTTGTCCTGACATTACACCAGAGACATCAGGGGTTTCAAGTGTCAAAAAGAAAACAAAAACAAAAAAACTGTAGAGAGCGTTTGCTTTTGGCTTTTGAGACTCTGGTTTCTCTTAAGAATGTACTTTGGTATTTGGGGTTGGTTTGGTGCCATAGACAAAATGGCTTTGGACAGCCCCTGCTTTTTTCTCCCTGTTTTTTAAACATAATTACAGATATGCCCTTCAATTTTCACATTTTTAAAATTTAAAAGTTCTAAAAAACAAAATGCAGTTTCTTCAAAGAAAAAAAAACTCGATTTCTTTTTAAGGATCCACGAGGCTTTGCAGTTAAAATATAGATTATGGTTCGTGAAAATCGAAAATCATAATCTAATTTTTACAAGACTAATATAGTTAATTATGATTATTAAGAACGTGTATTATGTTTATTTATCCATTTTACATTAATTACGGCACCTAGCCGTTACAATTAGAAGAGTGAATGGGCTTCTTATTATTAAATAAAATACGAGGACATTTGGGAACTAACAGATTTAAAAAAAGGCGTATAATTTGGGATTTTATCATGTTGGAAACTAGACATGAAGTTCATATTGGGCCTCTCGACTTCTCCCACACGCCGTCGTTTCATCCATGCGAAATTGCACTGCAAGTGTAATTCGTTCATAATTGAAAGTTTATCGGTCCCTTTTAAGATAGCAAAATAAGGAAGACCCGGAAAAGGCTCTAAAAGCAAAGGAGGAAAGCCCCACGGCTGCCACCCATCATTCACTTTGCTTTGACGGTCAAGCCGGCCGTGACCTTTGCTCTCGGACAAATGTTTCTCCATTTCTTGATTCGACATAATCAAATGTGCCACGATGACGCCAATGTCTTACCAAATCAAATTCAACATGGAACATATTCAAACGGTTCAACATTCCTGATCATATCAGAAACCCAACATTAAAACACTTACCAAACGAGAAATGACTCTGCTACCTGTGACTGCAAACCCAGGCAGTGACCATGATGTCGTTCATGTTTCCTTGGGAGGGGCCTTTTTCGCGGCTTCTGCAGCTGCCTTCTCTGCCTCTATCTCAGCCACAACTGCATCGATTTCGGCCTCTTCTAGCTGCTTAAGTCCATGCTCTTTTGTCATTACCGCTACCTCTATGTTCTTTCCCCCGCTCTCCACTACCTGCAAATTATGAAATGAAATGTTTCATGTTGTAGGACATTTGCTCATTATCGCTCAAATACGTCCACATTTGGTTCCCATTTCTTCGCTCAGGCAAACAAGAAATCCACTTAATAGACGGGAACATCAGAGAATAATGCCAAAACAACTACTTGAATTAGTAGAGAGAAGAAAATGCCCACCTCAAGCAAAGCACGGACAGCGAGCTTAACAGTTTCTTGCCCAGAGGTTTCTTTGAAGTTTTTCTCGAGAAACTCCCTGATCGAGTTTGAGTTTCTCCCGGTTGCGTTGGCTTTCCAGGCAGAGAAAGTACCAGATGGATCGGTCTGATAAAGCGAGGGTACACCAGTGTATGGGTCAAAGCCGACGATAAGAGTCGAAAGACCAAAGGGTCTCACACCTCCACTTTGAGTATATTTCTGTTGAAGCCCAGCTATGTACCGGGTGATGTACTCAACAGTCACTGGGTCCTCTACAGTAAGCCTGTGGCTTTGACACTCGATCCTTGCTCTGTTTATCAGGACACGAGCATCTGCCTTTAGCCCAGCACAGGCCAACGCAATGTGATTATCGAGGCTCACAATCTTTCTGGCCGATCTGTGAGAGAAAGGTACCAAAGCTGTTTGTATAAAGCAAGTACAAGCAGTTGAGAAGAAACACAAACTAGATCCTACCCTTCTCCAACTGATTATGATAAATACCAACTGAAGAGAAAGGGCTGATCCATAGGCATGTAACGATGGTTAGGACATTTGCAGCAGGA